GCTTTAAGTAAGGCGCTGGGGTTTGGGGTTGCGGGGTTCAGGGTGTCATCGTGTTGAGGGTCCAGGAGTTTAGGGCTTCACGGGCGATGGGGATTTGGGGTTGCAGGGTTTAGGCTTGGAAAGGAGCACGACACATGTCCTTTGACTGCGCTGGTGAAGAAACCATACAAGGTCTGCAACCCACACAACTCAATTCCTAATCCTGACGCCCTAAACCGAGAACACATGCAAACGACTCCTCACGGCGTCCCAAGAGGCAGGTGGCACAGGTGTAGGGAACGTCGAGATCGAGCAGACAGTCCGAAACGCAGGCAGCTCGGGCACCATTTCCGCTGCACTTCTTGGCACAGCTGCCCAGGCGATCCTTACTTCTCCAAATTCCTCGGGAAGTTAAACTGGGGAGTGGGGCTCTTGGGGCTAGATGTGGTAAACAACAAGCTTAAAACCCTAACCTTGTAACTTCCCTAAGACGTTAAAACAGTAAAGCATTGGTACTGGACTACGAAGTCTCTTGGTTATCGGAGAGGCAGCTGCCCTGTGAGAATGGCAGGCCGCTGAGCAAAGCCACGAGGATCAGACTGCCGGATGGCATGGTGCTAAGACTACACTGACTACGCCTCCCTGCTTGCTTAGGCCGGAACACAACTGCATAACAGGGGAATCTCTGCATCTCATGCTCTTGCAACTCTCTCAAGCCCGAGAAGTGCCACCTCACTGTTACATGGGTGACGTAGAAAAGCCTAAGACCCAAGAAACACAAGAGCGCGGAGACCATGTGGCATAGCCACAGCTCCACCAATACCTTCTCTGCATACGCAATAATGTCACGATTCCCACAACTTCCGAAGACAACCAATACCACCATCATCTAGAGCAAGAATATCACTTGTGGTCTTTGAGATCTGGTGCCCTTGGATCGGAAGGCTTAGAAGCGGTAAGCCCGAAATTTGATGGCTTCGGGTTCAGGGGTTTAAGGTTCAGGGCTTGGGATTTTGGAGGTTTAGGGTTCACAACAAAGCCCTGAACTCTAGACCGGCCAAAGCTCCAGCCTGGCCAGGTCGGCTCGCGAAACACCTACTGAAGATTTGGCACAAACACAAGGACTCATGAGAAGGAGCGTGAGCCGCTCGCGCTCATCTGAATCCAGGAAAACAAGGGAGTGAAGCGGGAGCAGAGACAGGGATGTGGGACCACCAGGCGGAAGAACTGATGCATTTACAATCAGTGCTCGGTGTTGCAACTTCGTACAAGTTCTGGGGCAATAGGTTCAAGCCTGCTTTGGATGAGTACGGCAACAAGAGAATGAGGCTCTGAGAGTTGTGCAAACGGCAAAGAAAATTCAGCAACGAGGGAGAAGTTCAGACGTTAACCTTCAGGAACATGAAAGCAAGCGACACAACTAGGCTGTTTGTTGAAGGCAAGGGCAATTGCCTACGCGCAGCATAACTTCAAACTTTCGCGAGAATCGCAAAATCTTTGGCAGTATCTTTTCCCAGTCTTTTGCTTGGTAACGGGCGGGTGCTTGTGTTCGACAGCTGGGTGGTTGGGTGACTGTTGCCCAAACGCAAACTGCCACCTCAGCGCCCGACCATTTGGAGGGAAGCACGGCCTGAGCAGGTCTGGTTTGACAATGTTTGACAGATCGCCTGACAAAGCGCCACGTTTCTACCGGATGTTGTCGTGCGAAAGGTGTCCACTCAGGCTCGGACATGCTTCAGTCTGCAAACTGTTGTATGGCTGCTTGGGCCAAGGTCTACACTTCTGACACGGTCAAGGATGTGCTAAAACAGAGGCCGGTGTCCAAGTGGGCGATCACCCTGGTTGGGGCTCTCAGAGCATGTCCTGCTTCAACAGCGCACGGGGAAAAGAAGCACTCGAACGCGCGTCAAGATTGCGATCTTTTTTCGACATCTGTGCCGATCGGATTTGTGGTTTCATTCGGAGTTGCAGGTAGTAAGGCCTTTGCTTAGGCTCAGGTTGGCGGGACATTGGCTCAACCACGCAGACTCACGTAGATGAATTTTTCTTGGGATGAGTTTAGGATTCAGGCCCTTGGAGCCAAACGTCCCTTTAGCAGGAAGGCTATGTACAGTTACACGTCAAGCAATGGCTTCACAGTTCTGTGCAAAAGCAAGTACCGCAGAGCTTGCACGAGCGACCTCCATCCATCTCATCTCTCCTTCGAAGCCAGCGGGGTTTTGGGGAGCTCAAGTGTGCTGAGTCCTGGACTTCTCTAGACTAGAGAAGTCGTTGCGAGCTCATATGCGGCCCGAGAGCAGAGGTACAGAGATACGGCACGCACAAAACCTTGCCTGTAATCCCTCTACCGCCAAAAGCACAATCAGAAATCAATACTCCAAAAGGGCCCCCAAGGGCCTCCCAAGCATGCCACGGCAGCAGCGTCGGAACTCGTGAAGGGCACGCTTTGCGGCTGCTTCTGCAGCCGAGTTCCCCGCCGTGGCCGATCGGGAGTGGATGAGGGCCTGGGCTTTGGCTCCAAGGTTGTAGGATGTCTTCGGGTCTCGAGCGCTTAAGGAATCAGGGGCAACCCGGATTTGGGCAACCCTTGCCATTGAAAGCAATTTTTGATCTACAGGAAACAAGTAGCTTGCTGAGTTCTGTCGCTCATGACCTTCCACCCTGTCAACAGCATTCATGTCACGCACTACGCATGCCCCAGCCACTTGGTCAGCGCTGTTGTGGTGGTGGGACTTCATCACAACTATCATCACAAGCATGACCACCACCCACCCACCCACCCACCCACCCACCCACGCACTCCCTCACTCACTCATTCACTTACTCGCACATAACCAAACGGGGAGATGCCCCGAATTCACACATGGAATGAAATCGCCTATGGCCTATGGATCACAGAGCTAAGCTCCTGCACTCATCAAGCCTACGTACTGCTAGGGCGGGCGCCGAATTGAAGTGCACCGCGTGAGCAAATATGCCCATGGGCAAATGGCACAAGGCCTGACGATATGCCTGAGCTGCAGACTGGCTTGCACACAAGGCCTGAATTGGTCCCCGAACCTTACACTGGCAATGGACCTACTCAGGTCTTAGAGTCCTCTAGGTCCACGTCTCCCATGAGGTTCGAGGGCTTGAAAGATGAGGAGGGCGTCTTTCACTCCCCCCACCCGGCCATGAAGATGAGGACCCTCTCCAGGCCCTGAAGCACGAAAAAAAATGACATCGTTCAGCTGGGACACATGCCGCCCTTCTTCGGGGGAGCCAAGACTGCACATAACGAGCCTTGAGCTCCGAAGCAAGACTTGGTAGGACCAAGGCTACTTTCAGGGCTTGGAGTAAGGGCTGAGGGCTTTTCGGGCTTTCAGGCTTGAGGCCTTCGAGCTCGGGTTGGCTGCTAAGGCCTGGACCCCAGCAGATACCAAACTCGCGGATCGGGCGCACTGACCGCCCGCTGTTCCGGATCCGTCTTCGGCTTCTTACTTGCGCCTTAGAGAGGCTGAGGGGTTTTGTGAAGGGAAGCTGGGTTCTCCCCAGCTCTGAATTCAGCACGTGGTTCTCCGAGGAAGACAGGTCGTCACCCTTCGTGGCTCGACATGGACATAATCCCAGGTGCCTCTGGGACCTCGGAGGCCATGCAGAGCAGTGCCCAGCGCCTCGCGGGCTTCATGAAGCAGATGCTGCCGTTCCTGACATGGGCACAGCGGCCATTGAAGCACTGAGAGGGCTCAGGAGGGTTCAGGTTTGCGCGTAGGTTTCAGGGCATGCCTGCTGGATCATGTTGGATCTGGGGTCGGAGTAGTTGGGTATGTTGGACTCAACTGCTTGCTCATTGTTCTTACGAAACCCAGGCGAGAGACATAGAGAAGACTGGTACATGATTGTCCGAGCGAAGGAGGGCTTACACGGGGCCAGTTGGCGATCGAGCAGCCATCGGCTGACTCGCACCGAGAAGCCCCTGACCTCGCAGCTTCTCGGCTTTGGCGTGTAAAAGGGCAGCGCGCCCATAGTACCTGGGGCTGGTTCGCACAAGCATATGTAGAAGAGTTGCTGTACGTGGCTGGTTCACATGCCTGCAGAAGACGGCTGAGGCTAAGGTGAGCGAGAACACCAATTACTGCTCCAATGACAAGGGCACCCATCAACATGCACAGACCCAGTTTCCGGACCTCAGAGACTCAAGACAAGACGGAACCCCCCAAAGCGGATCGATGAATGATTCCAAGGCTCCTCAGAACAAAATACCCTCGACAACTGACAGGCACTGCACCAAGAGAATACCCCGCAAAGGACCGAACCCACCTGAAAAGACATCAAACGACCCCGAAACTAGAAGATGCCGCGATACTCGGCTGCTTCCCGCAGAGGGATGAGGCGGCCAGCTTTCCGCTGCAGCAAACGGCCCGCGGCGCTGTCTGGACACCTCGACAGGAAACAATACGAAGCTAACAATCAACCCAAATATACCAATTTCCGTGTAAGTGCCCACCCTGCACCATGCTCTTCGCTATGTCCATTTGCACATCCCACGTACGCCCTTTATGCACTGCGGCATCCAATCGCGGCCTTGCCAGCGAGCCCACGTCCAACAGGGGGGACAAGTCGAAGGGTTTGTGAAGATGGGCGGCCAGCAAACGGCAAGTATCACCTGGGGCAAAAAGAAGTCTTGAGAAGAGCGAGCGCAAGACAGCGGTTTTGCAAGCATGACCCCTGCCTGCAGAACTTCTGGTAGGTGGGCAGCAAAGTGGCTGGTGTAGCCTCTTGCTGTTGTAAAGGCACTGCGGACAAACTGCAAGCCCACAGCGATCACCTCCATAGAGAAAAAGAAGGGACTTGTGCATTGGGATGCTTGAAGTTGCAGTTTTAGGCTTAGGGTGTATCGGGTTTAGGTTTAAGCCTGCACTGCCAAACTACAAAAAAATGCTGAACCCAGTTGAGGCTCATCTGTAGGCCGGAGGGTTCCAGAGATTCCAGATGGATTGGTGGCACGCGCTGCAGCGCAGCTCGGTCGTAGAAGCCTCGATTCAAAAGAACAGGAGTGACTCCAGAAGAAGGAAGTTCAAACAGACCATACTTGCTTTTTGAACCTGTTTACTACACAGCAACGACAACTCGTGCAAATGCAACTCTTCAGAACCCAGTCTGAGGTGTCTTTCAGGACGTGCTCCTGCAGCTTCTGTTTCGGCACCGAGTCCATTTCAGATATCTGCCATAGGTTTCGCGGTGGTCCATCCTGGGCCCACGTTCGGGCAAAGTCTAGAGTCTAGGGCGCTTTTGCTGTGTGAGGGCGTTTCGGCTGGCGGCTTTCGGTTGAAACGCTTCACGTGAATTTCGGGGTAACTGATCCTAACGCCGTGCTGCGATGAAGTCGTCCACACCAGGCACAGCACTGCGAAGGAGTGCCACCGCGCTGCAGGCCTCGGGCACCTCAAGTACACGAACCATTTTTGATCAAGCACGTTAACGTTTAAGGAGTAGTACAAGGCTTGCTCCAGCTGACTCCGCTGTCAGTGCATGTCAGCGCCTGCATCGGCAACGGCTCCAGGCATTGCGGACATCTCCACTCGTAGGGCACAAACAGCAAGTCCTTCGTCAGTTCGCATCACGCCTATGAACCTTGCGCTCAACCTGCAAACTCGACTCGGGTTACGCCAATCTGAGCGCAGGACAGGAACAGGCGGCGTGACCTCTGCGTGGCATGAACTCCTACCAACGTCATCGTATATCACAGTCCCAAAAGCCCTCAGAAAAGCGATTTGAAGGCCGGGATTTGGGGCAGGCGGGGACCATGTAAACTCCAAAGCAATATGAACCGCATCATAAGATTGAGTTTCTATCTGTGTCCGGAAACGTTCCTGACCCCTGAAGATGGCGGACTGCGCCTGCGGCCACTCGAAGGTCAGCTGCAGGGACTTCTCAAGGCTGTGGAGAAGGCTTGTGTAGGAGTGGCATGACTCCAAGCCCTTCCACGGAACCTGACGGTGCAGTTCTATGAAACATCCCTGAGCCTTGAAAGCCAACCGTAGCCCATGCTGAACAGTTTATGCACAGGTACGGTCGGTACTGACCGTCAACTGCATGCTGTCCTCAGCTTAACGAGAAAGTCGCGTTTCACAGCAGCTACAAAATCTCCCCGATACTCGTTCTTGGATGTTCTTGGAGTTTCGTGTTGCCTCGTTGCCGAATCAACTTGCCCTATCCTTGGAGCAATTCTCCCTGCAGGAATCCCAAGACACTTGGAATTGCGAGTCATTGATTTGCTCTACGCTTCGTTTAGTTCCGCTTCTACAAACAAGGAGACCAAAATGTCGGAGGAGACCACTCAGTTCATTTAGGATATGTGACAGCACCTCACACATCCTGGACATGATGTACGCACGTGTAACTGTGGCTCCAACTATAGGCAACTGCGTTCAATGATGGAAGATGCCACTGCATGCAACCCCCCAAAATGGTAGGTTAACTGCCCACCCCGATTTCGAGCATCTCAAGGCTGCCGTCAAGGGACCAATCTCATACCCTTTCGGAGGAGCACGCCAGCTACTTTGACCTTGACAGGTGCAAGTTGCAGTCCAGAGCACGAGGCTTCAGTGACAGGCACATGCAGTGTATGCAGACAGAAATGTCATGAAGCATCCAATGCAAGGTCATGGCACGTCCTTCTCCAGGATCAAGTCTGACAAGCACAGCGCAGTGCTGATAGGCTCACATAGTTCCGTGAGATGCTGAACAACTACCTCAGCACAAAGCTTCTGCGATCGACACCATTTTCGCAGACATGAAGCTATCCGGGAGAAGAAGCATCTACGGCTTTTTGCCCAGCTGAGCCACGTGTACTTTGCCCGCCGCCTCTGTCGAATAGGCATCCGAGAAACCTTTTCGACTGGGGCTCTTTGGGCTGCTTGGGCTCCTTGGGCTCCTTGGGCTCTTGCGAGCCGGCCGGGGGCTTCTGGAAGCACTGAGGGACCTTGGCGGTGGAGGTGGGTCAGGTGGGCTGACCTCCTCCAGGATTCGCAGCAGGCTTGCATCATCTCTCGTTGCTTCGCCAGCGAACGTGTCTTGCAAGTATGGGGAAGGTGGTGGTGGCATGGGCGCCGCAGGCGGGAACGGTGCAGCCGGTGCGATGGGTGCAACAGGAGCGCCAGGTGCCGCAGGCCCAGGCGTTGCGGGTGTGGCAGGTGCAACAGGAGGGGGTCTGATTGTAGCTGGTGCAAGTGGTGCAACTGGCACGCTGGGTGTGGGCGGGGCTGGAAGTTGGGGTGTGGGAGGAGCAGGTGATGCGGGTGCAGGTGCAAGCACCGGTCGGGCCGGTGGTGGAAGCTGCGCCGGAATCTGTGGAGCTACTGGAGCTATGGGGGCCACGGGAGCTGTGGGAGCCGCGGGCGCCGAAGGGGCCAGTGCTGCTGGGGCGCGGGCTGCGGGTGCGACGGGCGCGGCGGGTGCGGCAGGTGCTGTGGGCGCGGCTGGGAGTGCCGGGCGCGGGGGAGCCTCGAAGTCGTCGGAGTAGTCGCTGCTGTTTCCGTCGTTAGCCTTGGCGCGGGCTCGTTGCGGCGGTGGCGTTGGGGTTCTGAAGGGGGCCGTGCGCGTCGTGCTGGAACACGATGATGGCGTCAAGCAGAGGCTGTTCTGCAAGCTGGATTCGAAGAGTTGGGCTGTCGCTGCCCATTGACTGCTCATGCTGCTGAAGCCAATGCCACCCTGCGAAGCAGTGAGCTGTGTTCATACTCCAGACAAGGGCTTCGATATCCCACAACTGGCTCGGCAGCTAGCTGAAAACCACATGCGAGGAGCGGAAAGGGCACATCAAGCATCCCTGCACGCATCACTTTGCCTCCATGCCCTTCGGTGAGCTTAGGTCAAAGCTGCCTTGCAAGGCAGTCAGTCAGAGAACGCAGCGCAAAAAAGGAACGCTGGCTAAAGCTACGTGCTTTTACACCCGTTGATCTTGTGCAGGGCTGCCTGGCCTGAGGAGGAAAGTGCTCTCCGCGGCGGTGCTGGACCCAGCGACAACTTTCGAGCGCGACTGTCATCGGGGGGCCTGCAAAATATGCTCACAAGCCAGATTTGTCCACATGTCTCGCTCTTCTCGATTGCAGTTCATGAAAGTAGTTGAGTTGCAAGATGCTCCTTCGGCGTCATATGTCGAAGGCCTGAAAGCTTGAAAACTAAAGTCAAACATCCAAACTTCGCTAAACCCTTTAACCATTCTAAAGCCCAAACCCTTAAGTCTAACCGGTGAAGCCCTAAATCCCTCAACCCTGAACGTCCAGCCTCGAGGATTCTCGAGCCCGTGAGGACTCTCGGTAGCGATCTATGCGGTCGACGGAGCCGCTGTTGCGTCGGCCCCTGTCTTCGAAATCCTTCCAGGAGGAGCTTCCGCGTTTAGGCTTCAGGAGTTTCGGGCTGATGGGCCACTTGTCGGCTTTCGAGTGTACTCTGTCTGGCCTGTGGTTGCATATTCTAGCCCTCACGATTCATCTCCCGATTCGAATACCCCTAACAGCTCCGAAACAAAACCCTTTCTTGCAGGACCGGGATTAGAGCCTCGATGGCCCACTTGCCGGGTTGACGACGTCATCTGCTACTCCTACCTCTGATAGTTGGTCAGCAAGCAACAATGGCCTGCAAACTGTCGCAGGAAGGCACTTCGTACAAGCGAACGTGGATCTTTATATATCTTTATGCTCGCACATGCGTAATTGGACATTGTAACAAGGCTTTCTTTAGGGTGGCTTGCGGATCTTGCGGAGTCTGCAACCAGTCACCAATCCTGACGCCCAGACAAGACAGACCAATCTACGAACAACAACGACCCACCCGCCCCGCCCAACCCCGCCGGTGAGCCATCGGAAAATCGGGGTCGCCGCGTTGGAGAATGCGAGGGAGAGTGCATTGCTGCAACATGAGGCGATTCCCCAAGATTCTTGCAGAAAGAACTAAAGCAATCGTCTGCAGCAGTTCGTGATTCTCGAGAAATACAACCTGAGAGCCTTGAACGATGCTATACCACATGATGACGGCTGCAGCATAAAAAGGGCAGCATGAAGAGGATCTTGTCAAGTATCTATTCACACCTGCACAAGCCGAGCACGGTGGCGCGTTGCATTCCTGAACTGCGCCCTGCAATCTGGAGCATGACTCAAGGCACCAAAACCTTTTACGTTGCCAATGTTATGCTGCACAGACATCTGTTTGAATGCATCGGCTGAGGTTCTTCTATTGCCAGCTTTCATAGCTGCAAGTCGGGAAAACTCCAAGACAGCTCGATACGAGTAGCTATATAGTGGCCTGCGCTTCCAAAAGTGACCTCAAGTCGCTCACCGCTACGTCCGACGTCCACAACACTTTGTGTATTGGGAGGGCCCTCACAACCCGAATCATAACCGTAACCCAAAAGTGAATCCGCAATCCCCCACACGCCGAATGGAGTACTAGACCACCACTGCTGCTAATTTTTACTGCCACTGCACCGCCACTACTTGTAACACCAGCACAGCCAGTGAGGTTCCAAGAATCACAACCATGGGCCCTGAAACCCGAAACCCGACACAAAAAAACCTGAATGAACCTGGACGCGTTGCAGTTCGCCCCAACCAGCCTCATGTAATGGAACACCCGAAGCCTAGACGTCAGCAAGTTTGGCTTGGGCAATTGCAACTCAACCTGCGGGCCCTCCGCCACCACAGTCTCCCTAGAGCGTAAACTCGGAATAATCCAAAAGCCACAGACCATAGGTCCTGAATTCGATCTTCACCCCCCGGAACTTAAACCCTGAACCTCGAGTCCAAACGACCCAGGCCCGAAACCTTCAAGCAAGTACAGGTAGTTTAGTCCCTGATTCATAGGCAGCCCCTGTGTTTGAGGACAATGACATACAACAATACGAGGATCCCTAATATTGACCTTATTGAGGGAAGGCTACTCATCAATCACGGACCTAGTTTATCCGGCTAACACATTGACATGGGGCCGGGTCCCGGCCATCAGCCAAACAAATGCTGAGGCCCAAGCCGAGGTTCATCATGGCACAGAATACGACAAGGTCTCGTATCCATCGGCTTTGGGATTAGGCATCGGTTGCCGAGGAAAATGAGGTTTTTTCCGAAAGTACAGAATCAAGAGGATTGCGTTCGTCACGCAAATGGACCTCAACGAGCTTGTCAACATTTCGCGCGGGAATATTGATTTATTTGTGTGTTTCTGCGGCCTGCGGTTACTGCCTGCTGGAGCCAAACGCATCACTTGAATGGCTAGTTCAGAGCCAAACGCTGCAGCCCGAACTCGATGCCTTCTGGGTGCCAGGGGGTTTTCAGTACTCAGGGGAAGCCCACCCGCCTGCACGCCTACCCACGCGCGCATGCACACATGGCAGGCAGGAGCAAAGAGGTGACAGGTTTGAAGGAGCGCTCAACAGGTTTCAAGATAGTTTGAGAAAATATTAATCCACATAGTAGAGCAAATGCCAGCTCCAACCCCTCCTCATCCTGCCATTATCACCTACTGCTACTGCCACTGCCACTGCTCCTCTACTCTACGACGGAGCTCGTAACGAGCGCTTCTCACACGAGTACGAATACGAAAACGACTACGACGACCACGACGACGACCGCAGATCAATGGTTCGCAAGCAACAACTAACCGAAAGCACACAAAGCGAAAGCCGACACCATGTCACTTCTCTCCATGTTTGTGTCACCTCTTTCGGCAAGCGCCGCGGTTGAGCGGCTTCAGGCTGCAGGCTGCTGCAAGGCTCCCGCAAAGCGCTGGTGCTTGTAATGACGCCTTGGCCTAGCCGTGATCTGCTCTAGCAGCAACAGGCCTTTGCAGTACCGATGGCATGCCGTGCAAGCACAAGTGGGTCGAATGCCCGAATTCGAATTAGATGCACTCGCACCGACGTCCAGCACTGCAGCAGAGCCCACGCCTCGGCAAGCAACAAGAATCCAATAAGGATGTTCTGGGTTCCTGCATGAACGTAGGGGCGTCGTACTGACCAAGGGACTGTTATCACTGATAGAGAACCAATGAACCAACCGGGTCTCCAGCCAGGCGAGACAAAGGCGATCCCGCCACGGCGCCTGGAGCACAAACCCCTTCAACCACTACAGGGCCTGGGTGAGAAAGTGCAGACTATGTTTTTAAACTTCAAGATCCAGGAAGTCAACAGTTCCACTAACTTGCAAAGGGCCCGAGTCTCTACATGGTCAGTCGGTCTTCAAGTTCTGTCTCATGATGCTCCCTTGCATTGGTGATGGCCATCGCTTGCTTTGAACGTCAATCTCACTTGGTTCAGCACGGAGACCTGGGGCTTCGCCCAAATCGTAGAACTGACAGGTCATCTGTACCAATCACAGCACTGTCCAAAGGACCTGGCTATCTCGGTTTTTGCCGACGGTGGAGCCAGCTTCAACTTCACAACAGCGGAAAGCATAGTTTTTTTGACCACCCTACCCTGAGTCCAGCCATTCAAGGCGTCAACTGTCAACTCATCGACGTGCTGCCTGCGGTCTGAGCTTTCATAGCTGCTTGCACACGGGCGAAGTCCCTTTGATTGCTTCGATGGCTTGGCCGCACGCTCCCTGTGAGATTTCTCGCAGCGTTTACGGTAGTTTCGGACTTGCCCCTGCACCTCCTCCGGGGTTATGTGATCGCGTGCCGCAAATCCATCGCTTGGGGCTTGCCGGCCCTCCACGCCTGTTGACTAGTTGTGACCCCTCTTTGATGGTAGTTTTGACTTCCTCCATTTTGGGCTTCGGGTTTGCCCACTGCCGATCGCCTTGCCATGACTCTTCGTCGCTGATCGGCATGACACGCGAGCAGACTTGTTCTGTCAGTTTAGGGTTTGCCGGTGTTCACTCGACCTTCGGTTGGTGGAACTGCGACCGTGATCTCGGGGTCCATAGGGTTAGTCACTGTTCAGAAATTCAAGCACTGACAGGCCCTGGAGCAGCAGACCTCTACAGCCTGGCACAGAGAATGTCTCGAGGAGACAGCCCTACCCTTCGAGGCACCCTAAACCCTAAACCATAAACCCTAAACCCTAAACCGCTCTACATGATGCCAGTGCCGGCCTTCTCCTGCAGCTGCGTCCTTGCTTCCACGTCTGGCTGGGCTCCGAACTGCTGGTAGAGCCTCCACCAGGCAGATCTGCCACTTTGGGCACTAGAATCGCTACTTGAGAAATGCAAGAACCGCACCTTCAAAACTACCTCATTTCTGAAGGTCCCAGTATCACGAGCACACACACAAACACCAACACTCGCACGCTCTGGCGTTTTCAGCATGCGTATAACAAGCACTAAAAAGCTACAGAGTCTCGTGATGATTCATGTTGACTTGCCTCGAACCCCCCTCCCCCCCGCCCGTACTTGCGAAAACAAACAAATCCCGGAACTCCATTACAACCCCCCCCCTCCGATAAAAAAAGAAGAGGCCGAGGCCCGGAAGAGGATCAGAAGAGGCCCAGAAGAAGCCAGCCGATTTGAAAACAGGCCCTCCCAAACAAGAGAACAGCCACTTTAAACAAACCCAAATCCTCTGCAAACACGTATTTCGCCCACGGAGATTGAAGCAATCGGGAGGGGCAGGTGTATTATTGACACTCAGATGCTTTTAGACGTGGAAGAAGGTTCGTCTGCAAAACACCGATACCACATTTCATACGCGCACCCTCTCATGATCAGCAAACTCGCCCCCTGTTCGCCTCGGCAGCTGCGCTGGGACCAGCGCTGTCGCGACGTGCGCAGCGTAGTAGCTGCCGAAGGACCCGGAAGCACCGAAGGGCGGGGATCGCGAGGGCTGGCCGTCAGCCTGAAAAGGTTGTCACAAGTGCCCAAAGCAAACCTCAAGACTATGGTGACTATAGGCCCATTGTGTCACTGGCCGTTCCGTTCTCGGCTTCTCATTGCACTACTTTTCTTAAGGGCTACTGAAGCTTGAATCTTTTTTGGACGTGTGTATGAGCGTATCGCCTACAACAGACACCATCTCTTCGGTACCGCGATCTCAAAGCAGGCATGGAACGATGCAAAGCCCCCAGCTGAGCTGCTCCAACTGAACGCCACTGCCGGCCTTTGCCTGCAGCTGCGTCCTTGCTTCCGGGCCCGGCTGGGCTCCGAACTGCTGGTAGAGCCTCCGAAAGAAGATCAGTAGTATCTATGGTACGATTTTCGCTGCTTGAGACTTGAGACGAACAGAAGCTGCCTTAAAAGCCACCCAAACAACCACCATTTCTGAGGGTCCCAGTATCAAACACAACATTCACCAAAACGAGCACGCTCTGAGTTTTTCAGCATGCACACAAGCAGCACAAAAAAACTGGACAGTCTTGAGACGATTGAGATCTTAGACGTGGAAGAAGGTTCTTCTGTAGCACCTGAAAACACCAAAAAAAGTTCTCCCGATACCACATGTCATAATGTCACACGAACCCCCTCTCAGCAAACTCGCCCCCTGTTCGCCTCGGCAGCTGCGCTGGGACCAGCGCTGTCGCGACGTGCGCAGCGTAGTAGCTGCCGAAGGACCCGGAAGCACCGAAGGGCGGGGATCGCGAGGGCTGGCCGTCAGCCTGAAAAGGTTGTCACAAGTGCCCAAAGCAAACCTCAAGACTATGGTGACTATAGGCCCATTGTGTCACTGGGCCGTTCCGTTCTCGGCTTCTCATTGCACTACTTTTCTTAAGGGCTACTGAAGCTTGAGTCATTTTTGGACGTGTGTATGAGCGTATCGCCTACAGCAGACACCATCTCTTCGGTACCGCGATCTCAAAGCAGGCATGGAACGAGGCAAAGCCCCCAGCTGAGCTGCTCCAACTGAACGCCACTGCCGGCCTTTGCCTGCAGCTGCGTCCTTGCTTCCGGGCCCGGCTGGGCTCCGAACTGCTGGTAGAGCCTCCGAAAGAAGATCAGTAGTATCTATGGTACGATTTTCGCTGCTTGAGACTTGAGACGAACAGAAGCTGCCTTAAAAGCCACCCAAACAACCACCATTTCTGAGGGTCCCAGTATCAAACACAACATTCACCAAAACGAGCACGCTCTGAGTTTTTCAGCATGCACACAAGCAGCACAAAAAAACTGGACAGTCTTGAGACGATTGAGATCTTAGACGTGGAAGAAGGTTCTTCTGTAGCACCTGAAAACACCAAAAAAAATTCTCCCGATACCACATGTCATAATGTCACACGAACCCCCTCTCAGCAAACTCGCCCCCTGTTCGCCTCGGCAGCTGCGCTGGGACCAGCGCTGTCGCGACGTGCGCAGCGTAGTAGCTGCCGAAGGACCCGGAAGCACCGAAGGGCGGGGATCGCGAGGGCTGGCCGTCAGCCTGAAAAGGTTGTCACAAGTGCCCAAAGCAAACCTCAAGACTATGGTGACTATAGGCCCATTGTGTCACTGGCCGTTCCGTTCTCGGCTTCTCATTGCACTACTTTTCTTAAGGGCTACTGAAGCTTGAATCTTTTTTGGACGTGTGTATGAGCGTATCGCCTACAGCAGACACCATCTCTTCGGTACCGCGATCTCAAAGCAGGCATGGAACGAGGCAAAGCCCCCAGCTGAGCTGCTCCAACTGAACGCCACTGCCGGCCTTTGCCTGCAGCTGCGTCCTTGCTTCCGGGCCCGGCTGGGCTCCGAACTGCTGGTAGAGCCTCCGCAAGAAGATCAGTAGTATCTATGGTACGATTTTCGCTGCTTGAGACTTGAGACGAACAGAAGCTGCCTTAAAAGCCACCCAAACAACCACCATTTCTGAGGGTCCCAGTATCAACCACAACATTCACCAAAACGAGCACGCTCTGGGTTTTTCAGCATGCACACAAGCAGCACAAAAAAGCTGGACAGTCTTGAGACGATTGAAATCTTAGACGTGGAAGAAGGTTCTTCTGTAGCACCTGAAAACACCAAAAAAGTTCTCCCGATACCACATGTCACAATGTCACACGAACCCTCCTGGCATCCCCTAGGTAAGTCTCTGGCACGGCTTCCTTGAAACGCTCTGGGCACCTCCAAGCCCACAAATCTGCTGCAGGCATCATGGGGCTTGGGGTTGGCTTGGGGTTGAGGTTTAGGGTTTAGGGTTTAGGGTTTAGGGTTTAGGGTTTAGGGTTTAGGGTTTAGGGTTTAGGGTTTAGGGTTTAGGGTTTAGGGTTTAGGGTTTAGGATTTAACTCGCCCCCTGTTCGGCCTCGGCAGCTGCGCTGGGACCAGTGCTGTCGCGATGTGCGCAGCGTAGTAGCCGCCGAAGGACCCGGAAGCACCGAAGGGCGGGGATCGCGAGGGCTGGCCGTCAGCCTGAAAAGGTTGTCACAAGTGCCCAAAGCACAAACCTCAAGACTATGGTGACTATAGGCCCATTGTGTCACTGGCCGTTCCGTTCCTCGCTTCTCATTGCACTACTTTTCTTAAGGGCTACTGAAGCTTGAGTCTTTTTTGGACGTGTGTATGAGCGTATCGCCTACAACAGACACCATCTCTTCGGTACCGCGATCTCAAAGCAGGCATGGAACGAGGCAAAGCCCCGAGCTGATCTGCTCCAACTGAACGCCACTGCCGGCCTTCGCCTGCAGCTGCGTCCTTGCTTCCGGGCCCGGCTGGGCTCCGAACTGCTGGTAGAGCCTCCGCAAGAAGATCAGTAGTATCTATGGTACGATTTTCGCTGCTTGAGACTTGAGACGAACAGAAGCTGCCTTAAAAGCCACCCAAACAACCACCATTTCTGACGGTCCCAGTATCAACCACAACATTCACCAAAACGAGCACGCTCTGGGTTTTTCAGCATGCACACAAGCAGCACAAAAAAGCTGGACAGTCTTGAGACGATTGAAATCTTAGACGTGGAAGAAGGTTCTTCTGTAGCAACTGAAAACACCAAAACAGTTCTCCCGATACCACATGTCATAATGTCACACGAACCCCCTCTCAGCAAACTCGCCCCCTGTTCGGCCTCGACAGCTGCGCTGGGACCAGCGCTGTCGCGACGTGCGCAGCGTAGTAGCTGCCGAAGGACCCGGAAGCACCGAAGGGCGGGGATGGAGAGGGCTGGCCGCCAGCCTGAAAAGGTTGTCACAGGTGCCCAAAGCAAACTTCAAGATGGCAAGGCCTGCTTCCCTGAACTCCAGTGTGTCACTGGCCGTCTCTTTGCAACACTTCTCTTTTCAAGATTTTATTGATGCGTGTCTGAGCATGGCGCATCCCTCCAAAAAAGGCTGCCCATCACCTACAACAGACACGGTCTCTTGGGATACTGCCGAGGTTTCAACGCCCATGCCTGCCGGCCTTCTCCTGCAGCTGCATCCTTGCTTCCACGCCCGGCTGGGATCCGAACTGCTGGTACAGCCTCTGCCAGAAGGTCTGTAGCCACTATAGTCACTAGAATCGCTACCTGAGAAACGCAAAAACCGCACCTGTAAACCACCCGACACCCCCTATTCTGAAGGTCCCAGTATCAACCACATTCACCACAACTCGCACGCCTCTGGATGGTTCAGCATGACGAGAAGCTGCAAACTGCAGAGTCTCGTGATGATTAACGTTGACTTGCCTATTAAACTCTCCCAGCAAGGAACCAAAACCCAAGTCCCGGAACTCAACTACATTCCCCCCGCATTAAGACATTCCCAGATCCTTCCAGAAGAGGGTCGGAAGAGGGCTAGAAGAGGCCAGCCCTGTCGAAGCCCTTTCTGTGCAGTTGCTGTGAGCAAGAACGGGTTTAGGGTTTAGGTAGGGTTTAGGGTTTTGGGTGCTAGTGTCTCTAGCGAACACCATCAGGTACCCGGCCCTTTCTCTCGGCTCTGAGTGACAAGGACGACGAGGTGGATTCGAGAGCAGAGGGGGAGATCTGAAACACTGTAAGTTGCCCTAACCCCTACTGTAAACCCTAAACCCTCAACCTTCAAAGTGCCTTGCCGTCTGCCACCAAGTCAGAACAACGATTCCACAGGTTTCCAAGCAAGACTGGAGATCCAAAGCCTACTGTTTCGGATCGAGGGTGGGATGAGGGGCTGAGGCTTGTTTTTTTGGGCTTGGGGCTTGGAGCAACGCAGGCTAGCGGCGCGCTAGCGGCACGGCTGTCGTCCCTCACGATTTCCCTTGTGATCTGCACCTGGTCGGGAAGGGATTGTGAATGAAGCAACTCTCGCTGAGCGATCCTCAATCTACAATGATGCGCTCTGCAAACTCAATGACAATGCCACCCCCTGTCTGAAATCCTAGGCACCTGAGACACCCTTGAGCTCACGCAAGCCCCCGTGCCCAACACCTTCAGCGCCCACCCCGAGTACACAAGCCCCAACATATATTCCGAAGCCCACAGGCCCGGACTCCCAAAATCCCTACAGCATTGCCTGTGCCTCTGCAACATTTTGCGTTTCACCATCCACCTGCATGGCGCCAACACTCCCCGTTTAAACATCAGGGTCGAGGATGTAGGGCCGTAGGGGTTACGGCGACGGCGAGTTTGGGGTAGTTTTTGGTTTTTGGGGGTCAGAGGGGGTCCGCGCCTGGCTCTGCTGGCACGCAGCCGGACACTGCCTGAGAGCTTCCACCGGCCAGCAGAAGGCTAGCAGAAGGCTACCATCTGCTCCCAAACAACCTTCAACACATTCCGGCCACACCCTCTGGCATTACAAGTGTTGCACTCGGGAGAACTCAAAAAAGACTCGAACACCCCTTTCCTGCCGTCTGCCACCAAGTCAGAACAACGATTCCAAAGGTTTCCAAGCAAGGCTGGAGATCCAAAGCGTACTGTTTCGGATCGAGGGTGGGATGAGGGGCCGAGGCTTGTTTTTTTGGGCTTGGGGCTTGGAGCAACGCAGGCTAGCGGCTCGCTAGCGGCACGGCTGTCGTCCCTCACGATTTCCCTTGTGATCTGCACCTGGTCGGGAAGGGATTGTGAATGAAGCAACTCTCACTGAGCGATCCTCAATCTACAATGATGCGCTCTGCAAACTCAATGACAATGCCACCCCCTGTCTGAAATCCTAGGCACCTGAGACACCCATGAGCTCACACAAGCCCCCGTGCCCAACACCTTCAGCGCCCACCCCGAGTACAAAAGCCCCAACATATATTCCGAAGCCCACAGGCCCGGACTCCCAAAATCCCCACAGCATTGCCTGTGCCTCTGCAACATTTTGCGTTTCACCATCCACCTGCATGGCGCCAACACTCCCCGTTTAAACATCAGGGTCGAGGATGTAGGGCCGTAGGGGTTACGGGGACGGCGAGTTTGGGGTAGTTTTTGGTTTTTGGGGGTCAGCGCCTGGCTCTGCTGGCACGCAGCCGGACACTGCCTGAGAGCTTCCACTGGCCAGCAGAATGCTAGCAGAAGGCTAACATCTGCTCCCTAACAACCCTCTTTCGAAACACATTCCGGCCACACCCTCTGGCATTACAGGTGTTGCACTCGGAGGAACTCAAAAAAGACTCGAACACCCCTTTCCTGCCGTCTGCCACCAAGTCAGAACAACGATTCCAAAGGTTTCCAAGCAAGGCTGGAGATCCAAAGCCTACTGTTTCGGATCGAGGGTGGGATGAGGGGCCGAGGCTTGTTTTTTTGGGCTTGGGGCTTGGAGCAACGCAGGCTAGCGGCGCGCTAGCGGCACGGCTGTCGTCCCTGACGATTTCCCTTGTGATCTGCACCTGGTCGGGAAGGGATTGTGAATGAAGCAACTCTCGCTGAGCGATCCTCAATCTACAATGATGCGCTCTGCAAACTCAATGACAATGCCACCCCCTGTCTGAAATCCAAGGCACCTGAGACACCCTTGAGCTCACGCAAGCCCCCGTGCCCAACACCTTCAGCGCCCACCCCGAGTACACAAGCCCCAACATACCTTCCGAAGCCCACAGGCCCGGACTCCCAAAATCCCTACAGCATTGCCTGTGCCTCTGCAACATTTTGCGTTTCACCATCCACCTGCATGGCGCCAACACTCCCCGTTTAAACATCAGGGTCGAGGATGTAGGGCTGTAGGGGTTACGGGGACGGCGAATTTGGGGTAGTTTTTGGTTTTTGGGGGTCAGCGCCTGGCTCTGCTGGCACGCAGCCGGACACTGCCTGAGAGCTTCCACTGGCTAGCAGAATGCTAGCAGAAGGCTAACATCTGCTCCCTAACAACCCTCTTGAACGAAACACATTCCGGCCACACCCTCTGGCATTACAGGTGTTGCACTCGGAGGAACTCAAAAAAGACTCGAACACCCCTTTCCTGCCGTCTGCCACCAAGTCAGAACAACGATTCCAAAGGTTTCCAAGCAAGGCTGGAGATCCAAAGCCTACTGTTTCGGATGGAGGGTGGGATGAGGGGCTGAGGCTTGTTTTTTGGGCTTGGGGCTTGGAGCAACGCAGGCTAGCGGCGCGCTAGCGGCACGGCTGTCGTCCCTGACGATTTCCATGGGGATCTGCACCTGGTCGGGAAGGGATTGTGAATGAAGCAACTCTCACTGAGCGATCATCATGCCCAACGCCTTCAGCGCCCACCCCGAGTATAAAAGCATATATTCCAAAGCCCACAGGCCCGGACTCCCAAAATCCCCACAGCATTGCCTGTGCCTCTGCAACATTTTGCGTTTCACCATCCACCTGCATGGCGCCAACACTCCCCGTTTAAACATCAGGGTCGAGGATGTAGGGCCGTAGGGGTTACGGCGACGGCGAGTTTGGGGTAGTTTTTGGTTTTTGGGTTTTTGGGGTCAGCGCCTGGCTCTGCTGGCACGCAGCCGGACACTGCCTGAGAGATTCAACTGGCCAGCAGAAGGCTAGCAGAAGGCCACCATCTGCTCCCAAACAACCTTCAACACATTCCGACCACACCCTCTGGCATTACAAGTGTTGCACTCGGGAGAACTCAAAAATGACTCGAACACCCCTTTCCTGCCGTCTGCCACCAAGTCAGAACAACGATTCCAAAGGTTTCCAAGCAAGGCTGGAGATCCAAAGCCATCCAAAGCTTACTGTTTCGGATCGAGGGTGGGATGAGGGGCTGAGGCTTGTTTTTTTGTTTTGGCTTGGGGCTTGGAGCAACGCAGGCTAGCGGCGCGCTAGCGGCACGGCTGTCGTCCCTGACGATTTCCATGGGGATCTGCACCTGGTCGGGAAGGGATTGTGAATGAAGCAACTCTCACTGAGCGATCCTCATGCCCAACGCCTTCAGCGCCCACCCCGAGTATAAAAGCATATATTCCAAAGCCCACAGGCCCGGACTCCCAAAATCCCCACAGCATTGCCTGTGCCTCTGCAACATTTTGCGTTTCACCATCCACCTGCATGGCGCCAACACTCCCCGTTTAAACATCAGGGTCGAGGATGTAGGGCCGTAGGGGTTACGGGGACGGCGAGTTTGGGGTAGTTTTTGGTTTTTGGGGGTCAGCGCCTGGCTCTGCTGGCACGCAGCCGGACACTGCCTGAGAGCTTCCACTGGCCAGCAGAATGCTAGCAGAAGGCTAACATCTGCTCCCTAACAACCCTCTTTCGAAACACATTCCGGCCACACCCTCTGGCATTACAAGTGTTGCACTCGGAGGAACTCAAAAAAGGCTCGAACACCCCTTTCCTGCCGTCTGCCACCAAGTCAGAACAACGATTCCAAAGGTTTCCAAGCAAGGCTGGAGATCCAAAGCCTACTGTTTCGGGTCGAGGGTGGGATGAGGGGCTGAGGCTTGTTTTTGGGCTTGGGGCTTGGAGCAACGCAGACTCGCGGCGTGCTAGCGCGGCTGTCGTCCCTGACGATTGCCATTGGGATCTGCACCTGGTCGGGAAGGGATTGTGAATGAAGCAACTCTCACTGAGCGATCCTCAATCTACAATTGGGCGCCTTGCACTGCAAGCTCAAAGCAACCATCCCCTATCTGAAGCACAAGACGCCGCTATCATCACGCAGTGTGTCCAACTGGGCTGCCTCACGCGCGTTGCTCGTGATGGTCGGGCCCTGGCTTGGCACGGCTGCCACCCCAGGGCCGACAGGGGCACTGTCGGCGACGCCGTGGCCGGTGGCAGCCCAAATGCGAGGTGGCAACATTGAAGGCGCAGCCGCCGCGGTCGCCATCAGCAGCCGGCCCTGAGGCGTCACCTGTCAGAAATTCGGACGTGGGCTCTGAGGCTCAGCCTTGACCAACTGCAACAGCCTCAAACAAAAGCCCATGGGCTCGAGCTGTCGGATGGCCGGGCGCAGCTTGAACCCCGAAACCCTAACCTCATCACACCGCGCAAGAAGTTACCGTGCCGTACTCTGATTGGGGGAGCGAACTCATTATGGCTGCGTCTGAGGAAGGCCGTGGCGCCTTCTGTGGCGTTGGGCTGAAGAGCGACTGTGGTTTCAAGGTCCAGGGCAGGTAATCAGGCCTCCAGAGCTAACACTGACGAGGCCCTGGAATGCCCTGGACCATGTTTCTCTGGTCCCCGTCCACTGCGGGAAGACCCCTGTCTTCGGGCACCACACACCTTGCACATGCAAAGGACCTCGAAGCCGTATAGGGGGAGTGAGTTCGAGGTTCGGGTGTTCTTCCGAGCTATAGGAGCGCAATGGTTTCGTCAGACCGTCATGTCAAAACCCAAACCGTGCAAGTGTTGGCCATAAAGATCGCCTCTCCCGCGCTTGATGGCTCTGGCGATGCTGGGATGGCGGTTCATGTTTAGATCCGCTTCGTGTTCAAGGGAAGGCGGCCAGGATGTAGGACGCGTAGGATGTCAGACGGTTCAGGTCTGCAGCCATGGCTTATGCGCTGGTTGACTTGTTAAGCAAGCATTGCTGCACGTTGTGCTGTGAAAGTGCGAGCAGCGCTTAGCTCGTGGGGGCGGGAGGCAGGGGGGGGCGGGGGGGGGCACGAAGGCTACACCTTTACAAAATGTCGAGATGGTGTTCAGCAGCAATAATATGCACAATTGTGCACGGAAGGACGTTTGCAAAACTGTTGAGTGTGATTCGCCTATCATAGGCCCTAATTGCAGAAAGCCCTTGCCTTGCTGCAGTGCTTGCACTCCTCACCGGCCGCCTCAGCAAAGTACGTAGAAGATACATGAGTCCAGGGGTGAGCTGTGAGGATGATCAAATTTCGCGAGAACACAGGATCACGCTGAGGCACGCCGTCTGCACCTAAATGGAAGCAAAGAGCCTGCTCCAACTCATTGAAGACAACTATATGGGCATGTGCTGAATAGCCAGCCAACAGGACCTATCAGAAAATCACCTGAGTTATCCTGGGTTCCTAGATGTGGTTCAGGCACTGCTGCTGCAGGCCGAGCGACACGCAGCGGTCGAGTGCAGTCTGGGCACCGGAAGGCGACCTCGGCTGCCATTCACGGCTTGGGGCCCAAAAGTCCTACGCCGCACACGCTGCGTCACTGAGCTAGAAGCTTTGGCGGCTCCACACAGAAGCGAGGACGCCTGAACAGCTGGATGCTTCACAGCTCCCAAAAAGCGCGAGGCAATGACTCAACGAAAAGTGTTCCATATTGCTGCCTGTTCAGAGTCGTCCACAGAGTCAGGGATCCCTGACGCCTGGCTTCAAATGTTGGGTCCGGGAGTTTAGGGCGTTTAGGGCTTGTTACTCTTTCTAGTAGGATTCAAGGTGGCCGCTTCATTGAGGATACACTCACATGATCAAGAAGAGCAACAGTCACAACTTGGTTCGTTCGAGTAACCGACAAGAATCCGGTCGCAAGGAACGCAATGGGAGCTGCAGCACGCAGAGACGGTAGCGTGATGATGTACAACAATATAGCGCTCCTTGATGGCTGACAACAGTGGATACAATTCGCCTCGGCCTCAGCCATGAGGCGTCAGAGGTTCCTGTGGGAACCCTCTGATTCCTCGCCTCTAGAGCCCCCTCCCCAGAGACCCTAAGCTGTCAGCGTCCTCCTGGCCAGCGGGAAAATCGACGAGAAAGTCACTTTTCACAGGAAGCGGGTGCTCGAAAGTGGCTTTCCAGGAGCTACTTTTCGCAAAACGTGTCTTCTTCGGGGGACGTGCACGTGCACCGCCGCGGAGAAAGCATGCAGTCAAGTTTCAGAATGCCCAGGCACAAATCGAAACCGATGTGCACTGTTGCGGGACAAATGGGCATCAGAGAGGCAAGCATGCGGCTCAAGAATTTAGGCGCTTGATGGCCCTCGTGTCGAAAACAATGGGGTGATCTTCCGGGCCCTGCTGCACTGCAAGGGTCCAGCTGAGCAAGCCAGCAATTTAACAATCCAACCACGCGCAACAAGCACAAACCGACAGAACAGCTGCCGAAAGAACCAAAAAACACCGAAGCTAGTGCAATGCCCAGGCCTGGTGGCGGTCTTGATACCGCTTCAAAGCCTGCACACAGGAAAAGACATGTGATATGGCTGAATATAAGCGATGATGCCAGTGCTGAAACTTCACTAGACGATGCTTTAATGCGAAGTCTCCTGTCCTTATTCAGCAGCTTCAATGTGAAGTCTCCCATTCTACTCAATAGCAGACTATGGCAACTGTCGTAACCTGGGTCACCGGAGTCCATACGATGTTTCACCAAATCCAAAGGCCGAAGCCTCCTTGCTCATCTGCAGCGGCTTCCTCGCCATGGCGAGGAAGCAGACTTGGCCGGCCAAAGAGGACAGTGATGGAAAGAACTGAAGGCATATGACTACATCCCGGGTTGAGGTGAAGAGGTTCCCCATCCGAGCTGTACTGCATCTTCTGCAATGATGCCGTGGCGTGGCTGAAGGGGGCGACGCAGACAGGGCTGGTTTTGAATTTTGCTCGAACGATGCAAGTCGCATGGCAAACGAGATGCATGTGCAGGCACATGTTTGCGCCTCAGCATGTCATGCTCAGCTTCTCCAATCGCCTTCGCCACTGCAGGTAGGCTTCCAAGAGCACGTTGCAGGTACGCCTGCATGCAAAGAGCTTGTCCCAACCCCCACTCGGGCCAAAAATGGGGGTTTGCTTGTGTGGAGTTGGGGATTGACTTTTGGTGCCACGATGTCTTGTTCTTCGCGGATATCCTGGTCGCGGTTTTGATCTAGAAAATCGCCAAGGGCAAACCCCCGTTCTCGGGCTGAGAACGGGGGTTTGCCGGGCTTTGCACGCAGCTATCTAGATTCTATGTTTTTTTGCGTTGGCGATTGATGGGCTTCGGGGCGAGGTTAACAAACTGTACGTTGCGCAAACCAGCTAGCCGGTCAGCCCACTCCTTCCGATGCTCGTATGCCACCGTGAGCAGATGCCCGCTCGTCGAAGAAGGTGCTTCGATGCGCAGCTGCAGTCAGGGGCTGAGTGAATCCCACGTGAGCTTGAAGAACAAGCTTGCCGGTACTTGATGCACTCGAAGGCCACTGTCCCAATAATCTGCAGCAACTACATACAAGTCCTTCTGTGGGTGCGACCAAGGAGACCTTTGCAATCCAGACCCGAAGAAGACCAATGCACCAAGCAAACCCCTGTCTCGTTCCGAGAACTCGGGGGCTTGCTTGTGGCGATTTTCAAAACGAAAACCGCGACCAGGATATCCACGAAGAACAAAACATCGTTGCACGAAAGGCAATCCCCAACTCCACAAAAGCGCCTCCTAAATAACAGCAATCACTAGGCCACCAGCCAACATATTGAATTGCGGCAAGTGTCATTGAGCCGCAAGCTTTCATGTCTCTCGATGCTGTGCGCACACTGTATACCTCTCAAAAGGCACACGCAGGGCTCATATGCGTGTGCTGTAGTATGGTCCAGGAACATGCATAAGCATACTTGTGCAAATCACTGACGTGTGGCGCGAAAAGCACTATGCACAATCCCAACGTGCCGGGCTAAAGATGCAGAAAGGATCAGAAAATTCAGCAAGCAAAGAGCGCAAATGCCCTGGACACACTTAAAACATACCCAAGAAACTCTGGAGGACTCCTCGCGTTAGGCTTTCTATTCAACACACCTGGCCTCGATCTGGTGGGCGAACACGCTGAGAAGCAGTACAAAGTAACCAGGGGGGCAGCGCTGAGTCTGCAGGCACAGAGAACAGAGCGATAAGGGATCAGAGCCCACGCAACGGTCGACGATGCCGACATCGGTGCGCGCCAGGTCCAACAGAGATTGAGGAAGAAGGGTGCTGTGAAAGGGGCTGGCAAGCCGTGCAGCAGGAAAGGCTTCCATCACTGCAAACCCCAACTAGTACACGTGCACGGGCCGTTCCCCGAAAGCACCATCCAGATCATCCCACGCAAAAAGAATCTCGCCAAACGGCCGTGGAACACCTTCAGCATGTCCACTGCAAGAACATCATCATCATCAGCAGCAGCAACAGCAGCCGCAGCACCGGCCGCAGCACCGCTCGGGCGCCATACGCAATCGAAAGTGTGCCCTTCAAGCATGTGTCCCACCAATGCACCAGCAATATGCGCCATCATCTGGGGCTCCGCTATGAAGAATCGGGTGATCAGCGTCTCCAGACAAAGAATGCCTCAGTATGGCAGCGAAGCACCTCAAAATCAAAAAAAGGCATGGTACTCACTATGGGTTCAAGAGAAAGTACTTTGCAAAAGCTTCACATGCGCAGAATAGCAGCAAAGGAGCGCTACTTTCCATAGAACATTTTGGAAATTTACGTGATGAGTCTTCTTCTGTACATGTAAAGAGCTCAGGCCTTAGGATCAAAAACCCAGACGGCCCGGAGGTGCCGTTAAAGCGAAATCGCGGAGAAAAAGTCATGCTTCTCGCAAGCTCACGGGGCAGTCCCTCCTCTCTTGCACCTCTGCAGCTGACCCATCTTGCCAGAGGCTCGTTCTGACGATGCCGTCCACATTGAACACGTCGGCTCTGTACCACAGCTCAAGCGCCAGCACCTGAATCAGAGCGCCGAAAATCGATAGCGTTTGGTGTTCAGACCTGTTTTGGAAACTTCCATCGACAGCCTTCATGTCCACGAAGTCTTGTGAGATACTTCGGCTGCGACAGAGCTGGTTGGCCTCGCTGTCCAGAACGACAGCGCTCTGAAGGGGACTAGAAGATATGACGAACACATGACGAAGAATATGCCCGAAATACCAACTACCAGAGCAAAACTTCGCAATGACACGGACTTCGGCTTTTTCAACTGTTTTTGGTGCATTGTTGAGTTTCGAACCGGCAGCCAGTTGAGCACTTCCATCTTGAGTAGCCTGGGGGCTTGCTCTTGCGACATGCTGTCCTGGAAGCTTGGCTGGCCACTCCATAACTGCGGTATCAAACCTTGAAGCCCATTGCAGCCATTGAAATCTCATTGCAGCTGGGCGACGCAGGCAGAGCTGCGAACTCAGCAGACGCCTTTTTGGGGGCGCACGGTGCCAAGAGAAATGTAAGGCCCCAGGACATCCTCTTTAAAGAGAGTAAAATTTGCGGGCAATTTTATATATGCCAGATGCTTGAAAAATCTGTTGCAAGTTGAAGCCCTTCCATGAATGGCTTGTGGAACGAGAACTCCGAATGCCAATGCAGCGGCATCCACCAAAACAAATCTTGATACGCGGCACCACATGCACTGGAAGTGAATACATTACGGATTTATCCTGCACCCTTGCCTGCCTGGGTCGATGACAATGCTGAAGTGCTGGAAAGATCATGAGCCTGGAGCATGAGACTGAGTTCAGGAAGTCAGAGACGTCACAGATATCAGCAGTAAGCCTCTGCCATGAACAGTACGTACAAGAGCATACTGCTTACGACATACGATCCAGCGCATCCAGCGCCTCCATGTCTGCATGAGGCGCTCCTGCGCAGCAAGAGTGCCGCCACAACAACAGATAGATGGCATCGTCTGGCCGCTCCTGTAGCATCCATCGCTACTGGTATTGAGGGGGCGCAGACCTGCACGGCAATGAGAAATCTTGACTGTAGTGGTCCAATCTTCCTGTATACTCGTTCAACTCATCCCTGTGAACGCTGCCTCTTCCCAGCTGGCATTGAACTCGGCTTCGAGAGAGGAAACTGGTGCCTGCAGTCGACAGCCGATAAAGCTGGGGTTTCAGCCAGTCAAAGCACTGCTTGGAACTGGTCTGCTACTGGACCTTAATCCTAAACCATCAGAAACGCTGCACGCACCACGGGCAGAGATCGGTTGACTCTGCGGCCTCGCAGCCGCTGGTGCAATTGTCGGAATCTCCTAGGGTGAGCAACAGATGGGCCGTTGAGCACTCACGCTGTCGTGACATCGCTGAGGCGCAGACTGCCCTCCTGGTTGGCCGGCTGGCTCGTTGGCGCCTCAAGGACATTAGGGACTGGTGGAATTCTTTCCAGATCCCCTCACCCTGCCTGCCAACAAGTGCGGGAGCCGACCGTGAACGCCAGGCCCCCCCACCCGCCCAACCCCACCCACCGGCGCCACTGTGCCCTTCCAAGTACCCCCTCGAACGCGATGCAATGCTCTTTTGCGCAATGCAGCTGCAGAGCTTCAAGGTGCCCTGGTTGCGGACTCCACATGCTTAGGGGGCTGCGCTGGGCCAGGCCGAGGCGGGTCGCGTAGCGTTAATATTAGGGAGAGGTATCTTGTCACATGGAGATCATGGGCATCAGACTATGTTGGCCTCGTCATCCAGGTCCATGCGATACGTGTGGAGCAGCTGGACCTGGTCAGGGATTGCCCCCAGTATGTTGCCTGCGGTTGATGACTGTGGTACCGTGCCTGTTTCCTGCGGCTCTGCCTCTCCGAAAGGCCTCGGCTGCACCAATGTCAAAAGGCAGGACCATTTCCGTCTCCATTCAGACGGCAACAAGCGAATCACCTCTCAGCACGCCGCTCAAGGGCAGGTCCACCGGAGCAACTGGAGCATCCTGTGGGCAAGCGATGGGTGTCCTCACTGGTTGCCTTTAACGCTAGAATCCCTGTTCCTCAGCTGACGTTCGGGCGATCACGAGGAACAGCTGTCCCGCTGACCACTGAGGCAAGGGCTACTTTCTCAGGAGTTTGAATTTCTTCCTGTGCGTCAGCGGCCCTAGCCCTAGTAACACAGCACTACACATTGCTACACATTGCTCAGCCTGCTTGCCACGGCGCTTCTTTGGAGTGTCGAATTGGTACTGGTTCTGTTCGCACGAGCGACAGCAAAGGGAACGACAAGGTGGCACTACGGTGAGTGGCGCATGATCTACACTGCATCAAATTGCATCTGCCTCTCCAGCTCGATCCTCTTGAACTTGCCGGAGCTCCTCTCGCAGCTCCTGCACAGACACAGTGGTAGAGATGGACCCTGCCTTTCCGTCACAGAGGCCAGAAGACCTGCAGCAACTTGGTCTGGAAGTGGCCAAGCTCCTGCAGAGTTCAGGCGCAGCAAGGCTGCAACATGCTGCAACATGCTGCATAGCTGCAACGGGGCATGCCTGGTGCAGCAGCGATCTGACCTCTTCCCGCAAACATGCTGCGAACTCTTCCAGCGTCGGGCTCACCTGATGAACATGCAGTGAAGCTTAGCCTCAACAGGCTACGAGTACCAAATGATCTGTCCTTCGCATCCTCTTCTGCTTCCTGCAAGCAACACGATGGGTTTGCCACACAGTTCTGCAATGGCACGAAGGGCCCCGGCTGGCCAAAATGCCTTCCACATGTCCGGCCAGGCAGTCTAGGGATCGTTGCAGCACTTCCAAAGATTAGCAAAAATGTCCTCGCCAAGCAATCCCTGTACTCAGAACCTTGAATTTCACAGCAACTTCTGAAGAGCCTCGGAACATGTCGTGAATGCTGTACTCGTTATTTGCGTGATAGCACTGCAGATCACTGCAGCACTCTTTGGCCTCCGCGGATGAGCCAAAAAAGATGAGGAAAGCACATGTATCGTGAAGGCAGTTGGGTTGGGGCGGTCCATGCGCCGTCCCTGAGCGACGGGCAGCCCAAGTCTAATTCAGCGACTGCTTCCGAAACCTAATCTCCGACAGCTCACTTGCCTTCAGCTTCCCAACTCCAAAACTCCGAAAATTTCATTGGGAAACCAATTCTACAACCTTGGGCCTTCGGCACTCTCGTTCACAGATTTCAGGCAACACTTCACTTCATGAAGAGCACCGACAGGCACTTTTTGGACTTTGAATCTGCGGGCTCTCAGCAAATCCGAGCAATGCCCCCTGACATCTCTCTATGACTTGCACCTAGTTGACAGTCCGACTGGCATTCCGCAAACCAGCAACCGTAGCTTATTCTGCTAGAGGCATCTGGGACGCTTGCTGGTCTTGACTACAACTGGGACGCGACGAGCTACGCAGCCTCTTCTCACTCAGGTGTTCGGCCTTTCCATGGCGGACATATATGCAGATATGCGTTTGGTCATGCCAGCAATCCGTTGTGGGATGCTGATGTGTCACCAAGATCCCAACTGCGGACGTCCTCTTTGAGATCTTGCTGACCTGACATGTTCCACCCACGGTCCGGCGCTTCGCTTCGGCCGCTTCGCTTCGGGGGCTTCGATTCGCGGGGGGGGGGGGGGGGGGGGGAGGGCTTGGCGTGCTCTGAATGCAAAGCGCACCACTTTTGCAGGATCCTGCAAGACAGAACATCCCAGAAGATCCCAAGCAACGATTTGCTGCAGATTTTCGGTTGCTTGGCGCCTCATGCCGTCGGGTCGACTTGAACGACCTGACAGCACTACGGCGAACTCGAGGCAAGAAAAGTCTTGAAAAGTAGCAGTACCCAAGTCCCTAAGACTCAATGCACGGATGAAAACAGGAATTTGGATGTAGAACAAGTGTAAGTTTGCTGTCCAGCTTTCTCCTCCCTGCGCTTCCAATGACTTCCCTGAAGTCTCCTGAACCGAGCCGACCTTGGCTCCATGGCCCAACCCAGCGATCGCTCGGCGCGTGCCGCGGCTGCGCGAAGCCGCCGCGCCAGCTGCCGCGAGGCGGCTTCCTGGAGAGCTGCGCTTCACGTTGCGGTTCGCGTTGACGGTACGGGGCACTTCCGGAGGGCTTCGGAGGGTGTTTGCGCGAGTGTGCAGTGGGCACATCAATTCTGCTGGCAGCTGCGCCATCCGATTCTGTCTCGCAGCTCTAGGTGCGCACTCCAAAGCCAGAAGGAAAGGACGACACGGAACAGACAGAAGTGAAACACCTTAACCTCAAACGATCCTACAGGTTCAGGTTCGGGTTGTACATCACTAGTCCATATTTCCTCCAGTCAAGTCTTCCTCGTCAGTTTCAATTCGGGCTTGCTTCCGTGGACCCTTGCGGGGTTTTCTTTCACAGCCTTGGGTTCAAAGCGTTGATGGGTTTGGGGGTCAGCATGAGCTCCGGACTGTGGGCTTGCCATAACTTCAGAGTGTGTAGTGTTTCGATGAGTTCGTCCCACCTGGCGAGCACGCTTCCTTGCAGCTTGGCGGGAAAAGGAGAGATCTCCAGCAGCCGCCAGGCGGTGGACTTCACGTGCCTTCGACTCATGGCCAAGACAGGCAACACACTGATACGGAACATCGAATGGAACATCACGAAACCTGGTTCAAAGCACGTTGAAAAGCAGCAAGCTTAACGACAAGCATTTTGGCACTCACCGAAACAAAAGGAGAAACCATCAGATCTGAATGCGTCTGCATTATAGTCTGCCGTCGAAGAGCGCTTCGGCGACAGTGCTGAAATGCGCGAGGATGGGAGGCCGTGGTTTGCATCCACTCCTCGCAGCAGGCGCTTGAGACGTGGAAACTTCATCACATATTCCTAATGAAGATATTATTTTACGGAGAACCTGCGACAAAAGATGTTGGTTGTTTCGTTGATAAGTTGTGTTTCTTTTCGCGCCGCAACGATGGTGAAGAATTCTTTTGTAATGTCTCTGAAAGGTCCGTGCGTCTGTGCATGTGCGCACAGTTGGCGCGCGTGCGAGCGCAGGCGGTCAGCGTCTGCCTGCCTGCCCTTCCACCTGCCTGATTGTGTCTGCTACAAGAGCCTCCGAGTGTCTGCTACTTCCGTCTACATTCTACGTGCCTCCGCTCGGCTTCGTGAGAACCTATCCTTATCCTCAAGGCCCTCCCCCTCAATACCACGAAAATGAACCCAAAAACACTTCAACTCCACAACCCCGAAACCACAACGGGCCCAAAAGCCCGGTCCATCCAGAGTGCACGGACCCGTGGCCAGCCACCAGCTTCGGCCTCGGCGGCGCGGCGCCTCCGCGAATGTGAAGAAGGCTTTGGGCGTGTGCTTGGGGGTCTTCAAGGGTTTCGGCTGCAGGGTTCGGGCTGTGGGAGATCGGTTCCAGGTGTCTTCGGGGCTTCGGAATGCGCCGTGGGCCGTAGGCGTTGAAGTGCTGAGGTTTCTGTGGGGTGTGGCTTTGGAGGTGTCTTTCGAGTCCTCCACGTCAGCGTCTCCGCCAAGCTGTAGAGTGTGGGGGATTCCAGGCTACGGCCAATCCACCGGCGCGCATCCAGCACCACCTTCTTTGTTGCACAACGACTCAGAGTCTGCAAGACTCAGACCGATGGCATACTCAAGCTGCTTTTGTTCACAACCTTCTGCCCGAGTGGCCACGAAACTGACGGTGCAGCTCTGCAGTGAAAGCGCAGCCGCTGCTGCTGGCAGCCTGCCAAACATGGCAGTGAGCAAGAAATCCAAGCCATGAGCCTGTCGTTGCAATAACTTCGATGCAGCTTGACGGAAACTTCCATTGAACACTGTACCCGCTGCTGGCAGCTATTCGATTACTCGAATGGCTGGATGCTAAATCACGACATGAAAAACTTGGGAGCGGGCTGGGCTACAATCCAACACCTTTACAGCCCCGAAATTGCCGCAAATAAACTTTGCGCCTTTGCTCCAGTTGCTCCGGTACCTCGGACAGCGCCGCATGCAGCCGCTGTAGCAAGGCTTCCGCCTAGCCGCATGCGCTGGGTTTCGGGGGCTCAGCGAGAACGAAGATGTTCATGATATAAGGCTCAAGGAGCATGGTCACCGATGCCTGTGCGCGGCACCGGACGCTGCTGGAGCGGACCAGGACTCCACCGATCTGGCAACGTGCCTGAGGATGCCAGGCCCGTTGAACAGAGCTAGAAGCTGCGCGGCTCCAGAAAAGATGGATGCTTGGGTCAGCAGAGCTGACTTCTTGAAAAAAGCTGGCTGCCGGCGGCTTGCCGGCCGGTGCGGGCTTGCCAACACTTCTAGTCCTACTGTCGTGTTTTAACCTTCGTCGACGCGAGCTTGTCGAAATTTTCTGGTCATTGCTGGCAGCCGAGACGCCCTGTGGTACTGGGCAGAAGGCGTCTTGAATGTCCAAACCGAGCCTTCTCGCAGTCGACATTCGCAAGAACGAGGACACCCCAAAAGCTCTCACAGCAATCACCGTGATGCTCCAGTCCTTTCTTCCCTAGTACCTTAAGAGACACCGCTTTTTTTCCAGCCCGACCTGGCATCCTTGCCAGGGGCTTGACCATCTGGACCTGGGCCCGACACCATCACTCAGAAAGAAAGCAAGCTTAAACGGGCGGTCCTCAGTGGTTCTCTTTCCCGAAAGCATAGGTTCTGGATTGGATAAGAACCCCCCGCCCCCCCCCCCCCTCCCAAAAAAAAGAAAAACGACAAGAACGTGGAGCCCCAATAGCTTACTGGGCTCAGCGCCCTTCTTCTGGGCTGTGGCGCTGCACTGCCTCGGGTCGGAAAGGGTGTGCTGGGGGGGGGGGGGGGGGGGGGGGGGAGAAGGGGGTTCAGGGTCCAAGGGAGTCTAAGAGGGTGCCAGGAACGGCTTGACTGTTGCATTTGATGCTCAGCTCCAAGCACACGTGAAGTCGCCGAGCCTGCAGTTCGCATGTGGTAGTGGTGGACACCAACAAGGCTTGGGTCAGCTTGTTTGCGTTCTTCTCTGGTGACGCGGATGAGATAATCATGCAAACGAGTCTGAAGACGCCCCCCCAATACGGGCAACCATAAAACGAACGACAGACTCGGCACGGTGCGGAAGTATGCCAACACGGAGTTTTGGATGTGCCCGAGCAGCCTCCATGAATTTGATCAGCTCGTGACGGAGCTGCTTGGACAGACCTGTAACTGCGGAGACTTCACTGAAACAGCCCCTGAGGCAGATCCGATTCATCACAGGGCAATGTCTACAGTATGAAACCCCAAAAAACCCCTTAAACCTCTCAAGCAAGATTTTGTTACTTTGAGTGACCCTGCCTGTGCATGATCCGGATGTTACTTGCAGTTAACAATGCTACCAACCTGCAAGAATCCAGAATGAGGAACCATCGATAGGACTGACTCGGACTGATAGAATTGGTGTTCCGATCCTGAGAGGATGAGAGTACCGGCTGCTGAGAATCGCACGTTGTTTAAGCAGGAAGGGGATCAAGCAGAGGAAGCAAAAAAGACCCCATAACTAACGGGTTGGAGAACTTCAGCCCTATAACGCCATCTCCAGCAAGAAAATGCTGCCTTCTATGGCCGCTCGGCGGTTTCCCTTTGGCAGGGCCTGCAAGCAGCGATCCGACATGGTACGACTTGCCTGCGGTGATCGGTGACTCCTCTCCAGTGCCCTTGGCTCTCCACTCTCCGCCCCGCTAAAACTCCCCACCTCCAAGATGCCGTGAAGTCTTGATAGGGCGGCATTCAAGCTGACAGACATCCGCCTGGTCAGGCGCACACGTCTTGCAGAGCACTTCAGACACACACAGTGACAGACACACAGACACACAGACACAGAGACACAGAGACGCAGAGACACAGAGACACAGAGACAGAGAGGCACAGACACACAGACACACAGACACAACTCAGCCCAAAACCCAGCACACCCAGAAGCAAAACAGCAAAACATGTCCTCACAGATGTACGCGCACCGAAGAGGCAGCGACTCGGGTTTAGGGTTCTTGGGGTTTGAGGCTTTAGTCTCGCACGGCGTTGTTCCAAAAAACAAGAGCAGTATTCTTGACATGCATGCTTCATTCAACTTAGCAGTTCCACGACAACGACAACTACGACCATCAACCCAGCTTCGTGCTATTGACAAGTCGTACGCACACCAATAGAACCCGTGTCGAGTCGCACCTGGCCTAGGCCTGCAAGGCTTGGATGCAAGGGCTGCGTCGGCGAGTCCTCTCAAGCACTCCCCGAAGTGACTGAACCTGCTTTGAAACACCCAAAGCCCAAACTTTATCTGCAAAAGTACGCGCGACTCAGGGCGCCAGCAAGGGACAGCAAGTGCAAAGGGGGCCTGACATCTCCATGGCCTGAAAAACAGAACACTAAGAGCACCACCTCCAAGCTAACCGGCATAGGACTCCAACATATTCCAATACACTCCACAATCCATTCCCACCTTGGCAAGCCGACGGAGCCGGCTGGGTTGACCTTGGCGTCGCCTTGGTTTCACATGGTTTCACCATGTTCACCGATCAACGTGCCGTCCATAACGAAAGAGCTGTCCTAGGTGGAAGGGAGCAGAAGGGAGCATCTCCAGCCCAAGCATAGCGATCTGTGAAACCTTGCGAATGTGCACGACTCTAGGGCCCTGTCCGTGGTAGCGAAGGGATTTAATCCCTATCGCCTCGGTACGGGTACAACGAGTGGATGGAACTGCTCAGGACTGCGCAGGAAAACTTCACGCCTTCGGCTGTACAACAGTCTGGGGCGCCGTCTATCACGATCACTATCATCGTCAACTCAGCGTCGCTGTATGAGAGCAGGCAGGGCCCAAGAGGGCCAATGGTCCGCAAACGGTCAAGCACAGCGTCGAGTCTTGCAAGCGATGACGCAGATCTAAGCCCAGGACTATCAGGATCACTATCGCTATCTCGGTTCAGGCCTTGGAGATGGAACACTGTCATGGTGGCTGCGGGGCGAAGATCGTAACACGACTCTCCATCGAGCTTGTGTCTACTTGGGGATGGGCAGAGGTAGCTGTGGGGAGGGAGCTGGATCATGAAGAGAGCCTGCATCAGCTGCAGATGGCAGGGCCAGCAAAATGAGTACCCATCGATTGAAGAGCAACTCACGGGCCTGAGAGATGTTCTGAAGCTGGGATGTCATGTCTGATGGATGTATGGAGGCCACGGCCTCGGCACTAAGGCTTCCCAAGGTTCCCAAGCCCTCGGATTTTAGGAAGCACGTAACCCGAACCAGACATGCATCGCCGGCCTCTGTGAAGTTGTTGGCGACAAGGCCTGTTTTGGAGGCAGTGGTGCTGAACAGTACTGGGCCTTTGAACGCCCCCGAGCAAATGCGAAGATGCGGCAAGTGCCTGAAGTGCTGCGGCAGCAAATGCCCAGAGTTGCTTGGGCCAAAAATGTGCAGTTCGCGGTCCAAGGGTGACCAGAATGACAGCGGCAGAGCTCAAAGCACTAGGTTTTCTCTTCATGTCCTTTCATCAATGTGGGCGTGATTCATGCATGTGACAGATGGAACATCACGAAGCCTCACCAAAGCACTGCGATGTGACCAGGAGCTCACACAGAGTCCAAATTTTCCAGCGGGAATGGCTGCCGCTCAGTCCATCCAACCGCCGGAAGCAGCTTAGCGTGAGCAACGCTCGAACAACCACCTGATCATTCGTGACGATTGCGGCTGAGCCTATGACCATCGACACGATGGCCGCAAGCTAAGGTCCGGACCCTGCCACTGGGCATGTGATCATGAGCAACGCTCACTCGGTCCGCGCCTGGATTCGCTCAGAACCCTGACGGCTTGAAAGACTGAGGACCCTCAACCAAAACTCCAACTCTGAAGCTTCGAGGGCGCTTCGCCTTCTTCGCCTGCGACTCACCGTCGCCGCCGTCGCCGCCGTCGCCCTCGGAATCGGAGTCCTGCCCGAGAAGAAGCTTGGCCTGCAGCGGCTCAGAAGGGTTTCAAAAGGCAGCCCAGGTGGCTTAGGAGGCTTCAGGAGAGGAGGGTTCGGCATTGACGAAGAAAAGACAAGCTAGAGACCTGCAAAGTTTCAGGGAGAGGCTTCTGGGGCTTCTGGAAATTCTGGAGGCGAAGGCGTGATCCTGTTTGGACGGGCTGACGGGCTTCCGCACATGCCACGCCTGCGTGATCACAAACCCACTGACGTTTGTGACCTCGGTGCAGAACCCTGCGATCAAGGTCTGATGTCTTTCAAATCGCGTCTGAGCCGAATCTCAGGTCTGAGCACTTGGGCCTTCACACCGATCTAGGACCTGAGCTCTTAGTCAGCCTGCAAAGCTACGAGCACATGCCAAAACATGCCAACACATCCTCTTTGATTACCCTAAGCCCGAGCCCTCAAGCCCAAACCCAAGGTCCACACACTGAGCGCTTGCTCTGGACCCAGGGTCCGGAGCAGATCCTGCATGCTGGGAAAGCTTCAGAGTAAGGCTCTTGTTCTCAGCTCTTGTGGCTAATGAAATTGCAGGGCTTATCGGATTAGAGGAGACCTAGGACCTAGGCGTGAAAAGTTCAGGGCTTGGTGTTGCACGTCGACTGCACTATTTCAGACTACAGTCGCGCCAAGGACATGTCCCTCTGCACGTCGCTGAACCACCCACAATATTTCATCACCTTACAGGATAGACCTGCGACTCCGCGAGCCCTGAAAACTGCGCTTGTTGCCGGATCGAGGCTTCTTGTCAACCCGGAGCTCTCTGAGGTGACAGGGCAAAAAGCAACCACCGACAGGTGCAGAAACTCCTTAAACCCATAGCCCCCAACATCTCTAAACATTCCTTGCAAGCTCTACAAACCCTGCACGTCCCTAAGCCCGAAACAGCAATCGCCCGACTCGAGCGCATGGACACGAACTTAAACCAGACCCGGGATACACGTTCAAGGAAGCGCCATTGACAGATTCCGCTGAATTGTTAGGCCCTCTCTCGTGCCCGTTGCCCGGAAGTACGTTCTTTCACCCATACCAAGACATACTCGACGGTTTCACAGGAACGCCTTGGCTTTGTCTGTCAGCGTGAGCTTGGAAAGCTTCGCCTGCCAGCAACCCATCCCGAAACACAAGAGTTGTCTCAGGAGCAGCTTTATGCAGGTTTCAAAGGCAAATGTAGGATGGAGTTCCATGCTGCCTGCAACCGCTTACACAGCACTGGTCGCGCTCCCCCGAGCAGCCCGAACGCACCTCGACAACGTTGCGGTACTTCTGGACCTCCTGGATGACCATCTCTGTCGTAGCAGTAAGACGGACGTTAACTTTGGGTGTGGACAGATTGAAATGCTGAGATTCAGCTCGGGGTATTCCGGGTATTGCATCATGAATTCTACAAAGTCCTTTTTGCCACAGCTAGGCTAGTTACAAGACCCTCACATGTCAAGGATGGATGTGAAACGCTTCGCTTCGCGGAGCAGTTAGGAGTGCATAAACACCACCAAACAACGTGCATGGTGAAGGACTCCATTATCCGCCCAAGCTAAGAAAGAGAGCCCCTTGAGATTGAACGGCTGATATGCCCAGCCTCCTGCTGCTCTCGCCTGTCCCTTCCAGGTCGGTATGATACCACATGGTACCGCATGGCAGCTACTGAAGGGGGGGGGCCCGGGTTCATCTGCCTGGAACCTGGTGGCCTCTTACGACAATTGCATCCGGACTGCATCCGGACTTTCCTTTGCTTCTGCGCCGAAGGCCCACAGCAAGGCCCAGAGCGCACCCACACCCTGGTCACTGCCGCGTGGAGCCTTGCTTCCTTGTGCATCTTCTCGGCTTTGGCCCAAGCCTGCGCAGGTCATGGCAGAGGTTGTCTATTGCTTAACTCTGAGACAAGCTGAGGAGCTATTCTTTCCAGACAAGATGGCCACATCCCCAAGCCCAAATTGAATTGAACAATCCTGCCCTCTTCTGCCTTGCACGCTTCGCGATCGACCTGATCCGAACTGTCAAGCATGGTACTTCCAAGCAAACATCACGTGGGTCATCTGACGGGTCAGACCTTGTTCAAAGTCTGAATGTTCTCGCGCTTGATGGACTTGACTTCCAGGGCACCGCCATCCAAACCTTGACAAATCGACCGTAAGTTGCGACTAGCCGCTATGAGCCTTTGCATAACAAGTCTGGCAGAGCACGGCATGAAGCGCCAAAGTGCTCCACAAGGGTTCCTAGGAAAACCGGTCTAACGAGTACCTGTCTTCTTCTAGCTCATGGCCGGCAGCTTTGGGCTTCGGGAACCTCTGAAAGACTTTTTGTGCTGCCGTCAGTGCACTGAGTCTGGCATGCACTACGAGTATCTCGGGCGGCTCCTCTTGGAGCCCCTGGTCAGAGTCCACCATCACCTGGAAGCAGGAGAGTCCACCACCACCTCCACGGCACATCGGACTCCCAGCCCGCGTTACCCTCGAAAGGGCCCATCTCGTCCGGAGTGGATGTCATTTGGCTCGCGCTCGAGGCCAGGAGAAACAACTTGCCATATTGAGGGACGTTGGCCGGACGACTTCGTAGTGGAATTCTCCGAGTTGGGCCTATCAATCCCGACATTCTTCTGTGCCAGGATCATGTTGTCCTCCATAGCCTTCTCCCGCTGTTCTAGGACTTGCTCGCAATAACTTTTGCGTTGGCAGTGGACAGGTTGGCGCTCCTCTGTGGGACGCAGAATGGCGCGGACATAGCCGGGACACTGCGGCCCCTGCACCGTGGTCTCCAAGCTAACGATGCCTCATCAGCGGCTGCGACAGCAGGCCAGGAGGATGCTTTGCTGCAGAAGCTGGGTGCCGTTTCGAGTCAGGCCTCCCAACGCAGCTCAACGATGCTCGCAAACTTCAAGCAAGCTCTCCAAAGGTGCAAGTTAAAAACGGCGCCTGACAATCTGAACACATAGAAGAATGAAGAAGTAGATTGCCTAAGTGCGCCAGCAGCTGCATCTCTGAGCCACTCCTCTCGCGAATTATCTTTGCTACATCGGCTGATGTGCAGCTATGCCTCAGCTTGGCTGCCATATAACAGCCAAGTCCGTGGAACCAAACCCTGCCAAGGCTCAGGATCGTCGAAAATGCGCATGCTTAGGCTTCTGGCTGAAGGAGCTGAGGGATCAGGAGATGGTTGGTCACTCGGCGTGCCACGCCCGCCTCATAGACATGCCGGAAGCTGGCGCGGCCGAGCGGTTGAGGGAGGTCTAGCAGTTCCTCAGCAAGGGCGTGGCTTGGCTGTGGGGGCAGGGACCCTCTCCAATGGTTGTGGACGTTGCGGGCTCCATCACCTTGAACTCTAACCTCCTGCCAGTCTGCCAGGGCTCGACGAACACAAAAGGTCCTAGAACACGAGGAATGGCACCAACGGCAGAAAGCACGCCCATGTATGCCTTCGAGGAAACATTTTGGAAACCAAGAACATGACGCGACAATGCCTGACAACAACGCGCTGAGGGGCGGCTTTGGAATTTGGGCCGATGATCTGCGACAGCAGCGTGACTGTGGGTCCCCGAGGAAGACCTCCAACAAAGGCCTTGCTTTTCGGTCTCTACCGTGAGAAAACCCGAAACATCCACATTGACATAACTTTAACTCTCTGCCCTACCTAACCTCACACAGCCCTGCCCGAATGCACTGAGATCTGGGCGCTGAGCAGAAAGTCGACCACGAATCGTTGTGCAGGCAGGACGCCGCCGATGTCCACATTACCCAAATTCACGAGCACCTGGGCTCATACATTGCGGGATTGAATAGGGGATTGGGGGCTCCTGGCTAATGTGCATTAATATGCACGTAGTGGTTTGCCACTCTTGGTGCTATCACGTCTACGTGGCGATGCTAATGCCGATGGATGCCGCTGGTGGTCTGCGGTGTCTGTGCCAAGTCGAGGTGGCGTACACAAGCACGCAACTAAAAGAACCCATAACGGCGCTCAAGAAAACACCGAAGTTTGGAGAGGGCTCATCAGCCTAATTCCTGTGCCCAATGTGCTAGCAAAGCTTGACGACCCATTGCTGTCAGCATTTCGCCGTCACGGCTCAACGCTGGCACCGGGAGGACATAAATGTACATGAATGCTTTAAGGAGCGCACTGGTACAATGTAACCTGTTCAGCTTTCTGCAAACTTGCAACGCCAGGGCACCAGAACGGTTTGGCTCAGGCCGATGATGATCAGTTCTCTGCCAAAGGCCAGTCGCCCCAAGCCGAAGGACATCAACAGGCCTCGAACCTTCAGAGTTCATCCTACCGGTCCTATTCAACTCAGGCACCCCCGGCTGTCCAAGGAAAGAGAGGCTTGGGGACGGGCCAAACTGAGCACGCCACCCCCGGTGAGGAGCAAATTCACGTATGTCTGGGACACCTGTCACGCCAACACATCATGACACGCGCAGATCAATCGAGCACCACAAAGATGCTTTCTCACGCCTCGAAGGGGCACTCAGATGGGTTCTGGCAAGGGCCCCATCCGTAAAGCCTGCGCCAAATGCCAAGCACATTTGCATCTGCCAGCTGCTCTCTACGTACGTTGCACAAACTGACTGCTGGAAACATCACTGTTGTCAACATTGGGGTTGTCAAGGCATGTCACAAGTAAGCAGACATCACCCACATAGCATGGCCAATCACAAGAAGAACAACCAACTAATCCAGCTCGTGGAGATCCCGAAGTTTTCGCCCACTTGACCTTTTCAGACTCAGACGTGATCCGAGTCCCTGTAGGGGGCCTTTGGGCCAACAGCGGCGTCATCGTCTCAATACTGGACATGTTAAGACTGATGCCAAAGAAAATCATGTAGCAAACCTTGGCTGCATTCAGACAATTCGAGAGCCTCCAGTGGTCCAGCACAAGAGCCCTGAACATCGTCTGCCGAGTTGCCAGCACTGCAAGTCTGTTCGGCAAGGCTGCCTTTGTCGGCTCCAACGAGCTCTTCTCTTCTGCGTCTTCTGCGACGGTCATGCACGTTGTGCCTCGGAACGCGCAACTCACTGGCTCTTGCTAAGCATGAGGGGGACGCGGCCTGGCTCCACATGGAAGCAGCACAGGGTCATCGCGATGTTCATGCTGCAAACCTCATCGCAAGAAAAAGCTGCGCTATGCTGCGCTTCTGCTGAACCCTTGAACATCGAAGTGACACATATTGGCACAAAAAAAAACGCAGAAAACAGTCCCAGAAGCCACTTGCCGCCCGGTTGCCAGCACCAGGGCAGCTCCAGGGCCGTTGTTTCCATCGAGAAGCAGGCCGCAGAACCAGAAGTGAACAGCTTGAAGAGGAGCCCCCAGAGTTGGTCCCAGCATGGCGCCTGAACAACCCAAGGGGAACCCCACTATAGTTCTAGGGGATCTCTGTTGGGGGAAGGGATTGATTCGCACTCTCCCTCAGCTGAAGCCGCGCCTGTCGTTGCACAGCTGGAAAGTCTGGAAGAGCATGAGGTTTGATGTTGCGCAGGAATGACATGGACGATAAGCGTCTGCTCGATGGTCTGCCACATGCAAAATCCTCGCTCTCTGCCTCTCTCCATGCTTCTTTTGTTTATCTGGTCCTCTGCGGGGTGTGCATGTGCTGAAAAGCATTGGCCTGCCGCGTGCCCGTGTCGAAGCCAGACGCGAAGCGTGCCAAGACAACCACTACTGGCGCTGCAGAGGCAAAAACTGGTGCCAAGACCTTGCTGATAAGATGACTGCTCTTGAGGTCGTGCAAAGAGTTGTTAGTCCCAATATCCGTTGAGAAAATAAAGAGGCTGCCACGGAGCATAGCAGATCGCACCCAACAAGCCCAGGGTCATCCCGAGCAGAAGAAGCGTCTTGGGATGTTCAGGGAAGCGGTTGTAGACCTGGCCACTCGTCCATCCTGCAAAGTTGGACTTGTCCACTGGCCACAGAACAGCTCAAGATTTCAGACAGCATGAAGCTAGATGAGGGTGGCTGATCTCGGCGGATGTTGTCCTCCTAGGCCCTCGCCAACCCCATAGGCGGCAATTGCAGCTGCCAGATAGTGCGTTGAAGCTCCCAGCTGCCGCAAATATGGCCACAGTGTGGGCAGAACCATGGAGAAGCCTGGCAATTAGGGCCGGCCTCTGTGAGGTTTGCTTGTATCTTAAAGTTACGGCTGTTGGCGGGCCGACCTGCATATCCAAAGAACATGTTGCTCAGCGAAACCAGCAGCCATGTTGGCGCCGGTGTCTTGCCGTCTCCTTCACAAAAGGAATGCGTGCCTTTTCTTTGCTCTTTGCCGACGACAGATGAGCACAGTGACTAGCAGGCATTGGCCCATCGAGGCGCATCATATACGAAACGCAACAGCAACAGCAGAAAACACTATGGGCAGCTCATTCCCGACAACAGAGATGACAAACACCTGATGCCAGCAAGCGAATCTTCAATGCAACTCACCAGGTGAGTGGGCATCATCAGTGTGCCAATGCAAACGCTGACAGCATGCGTTGGTCTGAATGTCGACAACTATGAAAGCTTGACAAAATGGACTTACAAAACGATCTCTGGACGTTGTCATGCAAGCAGTCCTTCACCTGTGGGCCCTCTCGGCATTGTGGCAGAGTCGGTATGAGGCATGAAGATGCTGGCTAGAACAAAGGCAGCTGTATCCGCCGAGGCCTCGGACCGAAGGTGTATAGGTTGTCAGAACAGGCACCCCCCTCCAAATCCTCCCCCCAAACCGAAGTCACACGTCGGACCCCTTTTTTGAACTGAAAAGGGTACCCCCCCGTGGGCGACCACAATCTGAAAGCGGACAGTTCGCCAGGACCAGGGGGAGTTGAAGCCCCGCTTAGCAGGCCCAATCCCGCCCCTCCCCCCCCTGCCCCCCCCCCCCCCCCGCCCCCCCACCCCCCCGCCCCCCCCCCCCCCCCCCCCCGCGCCCCCCCCCACCCCCGCTTTGAGTAACCTTGAACCCTAAACCCAAAACTCCTTTAGACCCTAAACCGTGAACCTTGAGCCCTAAGCCCTCCACCCTCAACTAACCCTCAACCCGAAACCCCAAAAACCATAAACCCGAAAACCCTAAACCCTAAGCATTGCTTGGGGTCCAGCGACTTGAGCGCTGCGGAATTACCATGCTCCGGCGGATGCGCTGGGCCAAGCCGAGGCGGGTCGCGTAGCGTTAAAATTACGATTGCCGTGTTCAGTCTTTGTCCAATCAAGGCGAATGTTTGTGTAGCCCCGTGCTGGTCTACCTGAACACTCGCCATGGGGTCGGTAATACTGTAAAGCAACAGAGACTGTTTGGACCAAACAGCCAGATGGAAAGATGCACTCTCACTGTGTCACTACATTGACAGAGCCTGGTTGAAGCAAACGCAACGAAACTGCCGCGCGCCAGCTGTGTATGAGGGTGCGTAAGGGGCACACGGATCTCCACTTCCCAGCGTCCCTTGGATGCCGGCCGCGGATCCTCCGAGAACAGTTTCGGGCAAGGTTCCCAAGCAATGCCCAAACAACCAACGACATGTAGATGCAAGAGTAACACACACAACACACACACACACACACACACCAACACACACACACACACACACACACACACACACACACACACACACACACACACACACGTGCACACGTGCACACGTGCACACGTGCACACGTGCACACGTGCACACGTGCACACGTGCACACGTGCACACGTGCACACGTGCACACGTGCGCACGTGCGCACGTGCGCACGTGCGCACGTGCGCACGTGCGCACGTGCGCACACGCACATGCACATGCACACGCACACGCACACGCACACGCACACGTGCACACGTGCACACACGCGCACACGCGCACACGCGTGCACGCGCGCACGCGCACACGCGTGCACGCGCACACGCGTGCACGCACACACACGCACACACGCAGAGAGACACACACACACACACACACACACACACACACACACACACACACACACACACACACACACACACACACACACACACACACACACACACACACACACACACACACACACACACACACACACACACACACACACACACACACGAACACACACACGAACACACACACGAACACACACACGAACACACACACACACACACACACACACACACGAACACACACACGCACACACACACACACACACACACACACACACACACACACACACACACACACACACACACACACACACACACACACACACACACACACACACGTGGCCCCAAAAAGCAGAATGCTTGACACGAGCAATGTTGCTGCCAGCATTTCGTCGTGAGGAAATCAGGAAGGTGAGAGAAGAGAGATTGAGAGCTGGAGAGGCCAAAGAGTACGAGAGCAAAAGAGAGCGACAGACAGAGAGAGAGAGAGAGAGACAGAGAAAGAGAACAAAGGATGAACGGGAAGCAAAAAAGAGACAGGAACACACGCCCAAACCCCGCGAGATGCAGAGCACTTGGCCTGGAACTCTTCAAAAAGTATACCCATAATCACAGAGAGTAGTGAAGTAGTACTAGTGGCTCTATCCAGTGTGCATACCACTGCCGAAGAACACATTGTGTATTCGTGTCTTCCGATCTGTCTAATTCAAGGAATCTCCTTCTCTCATGTTTCGCTTTTCCAAGCAAGCATCGTGTTGTAGCATAAAGAGGATGTTTACACATCTGTACAATTGGGCCCAATCGAAGATGAGGATAGCTGCTGCTTTTCGCTGCAGGTGGGAGACGATCATGAGCATCACGGGCACTTCCACCGCGACGCGTGAGAAGTCTCAGCAAAAAATGCTTTCCACTACTTTCCTCTTAAAGAGGATGTTTACACATCTGTACAATTGGGCCCAATCGAAGATGAGGATAGCTGCTGCTTTTCGCTGCAGGTGGGAGACGATCATGAGCATCACGGGCACTTCCACCGCGACGCGTGAGAAGTCTCAGCAAAAAATGCTTTCCACTACTTTCCTCTTTCCTGGGTGGGAGGGTGGGCTAAAGTTGCAGGCTAATGAGCCGAAACATTACGAGGTGTGATTCCTAAATCACGGTACGCTTCTTCAAGGAATCTCCTTCTCTCATGTTTCGCTTTTCCAAGCAAGCATCGTGTTGTAGCATAAAGAGGATGTTTACACATCTGTACAATTGGGCCCAATCGAAGATGAGGATAGCTGCTGCTTTTCGCTGCAGGTGGGAGACGATCATGAGCATCACGGGCACTTCCACCGCGACGCGTGAGAAGTCTCAGCAAAAAATGCTTTCCACTACTTTCCTCTTCCACGACCCCTGCTTCTTCCAGCTCTTGAGCTGGGAGGCTCAAGCCTGCCCAAAAGTTCATTCCAAGAGTCATAAAACTCTCGCTGCACGGAGGTGAGCGCTTTAGGAATATCAGTGAGCAAAGAAATGGAATCTTGGATATAGATCCGGGACGTGCGTTCCGACGCCCATCGCCCTCGCTGACACACAGCTGCATACGACTGCGTTTCCAAGAACACTTGCGTCGCTCCTCCCCTACGAAGGCTATATGGTTTGTAGGGCAAGCTTATGAGACCCGTTTCTGATAACCCTCTCGAGAACCACTGGCGGAACAAAGAGGGTGACATGTTCACCAACAAAGCTTCATCGGAATTGACAGCCTTCCAAGCACGCAACATGATGGAAATTTTTTGATGTCTGAAGGAAGCACTCTCCACGCCAGCATTTCGCACGGCCATCTTCGTCTGTCCGAGTTGCAGTATGACAAGATCTTCAGAACATATGATGTTTCTATTGCGTAGTTGGCACAACTCTCCCGATCTCAGGAGTGCATGAAACCCCACACATACTGCAAGAGCGAGCTCAGCACATCTTGTCTGCAACCAGCCTGCCAGCACAGACAACGTTGTTAGGGTAAAGGGCGGTGCCCTGGTTGGTATTTCATGCTTCTGCCAAGCCTTTAACAAGCGCCAGCTACGCAACATCTTACGTTTAAGCTGAGGCTCGAAATGCTGTAAGGCTGAGATGGTGTCTTGAGCGAGGGAACGTGAGTCCCCTTCTTCCCACAACTCCTCAACATATGAGGAAGCTACACTGTCAGCCTCATCCCATCGAGACGGCAATGCAATTTTGTTCCACCTCAAAAACTCAAAGAAACGCTGCATGGCATGCTCATACCGGACTCGGGTTCGAGGTTGAACAATCAAATCTTTCAATTTCCCTAGCTGTTGTCTGCGAACTTTTCTTGCGTTTCGGTTTCTGCCTTCGACTACCTCCCGCTTCCCCATTTGCGCTTTTGTCCGCGCCGCGAGGGCGCATCCGCGGGATTTTGCCCAGTGTCGACATAACCGAGAACGCAAGCGTTAGCAGACAACAACAGCCATGCACTGATCTTTTTCAGGATTGTCCTCAACTTCCGGCTGGAACTGCGGCCTTTGTTGATGACGTGAAGCGACACTAAGCTGTCCACCAGATGAAGGTAGCGCGTTCGCGTTTGCTTTGCCTTTAGGATGCGCCATTTCACGGACGTCAACACTGCACGCAATTCGAGTCGGTTTATATGTTCAACTTCTCCTGACCCGCCCTTCTTCCATTTCCAAGAGCAAGCTGTAGCCCATTTCCACAGGCGCGCAGGAACGGACGTGCGCAAACGGTCATAGGAACGCGCTGGTTCAGTTCCAGCCTGCAACAACACATCAGTCCCTCGCGTTGACATGAGGGAAGACAATTTGCGCACCAACATGGCATCATTGCCATCTGCTTTGCCTTGACGCGCCGCTGTCCATGGTGGACGGGTCAAAAAGCTATTCAGATGTTTGCTTTGTCCTGGCTGGCAGTTTTTCTGGATTTGGTTGACCGTCTGATCTTCACAGAGTTTGAGTGGAGCCAACAAATGCAACAAAAGATATGCTATAACAGGAACCGAGCTCGAGTTCCCTAGCAAACTCAAACGATAGTTGTCATGCTTTGCAGGATCACGTTTGCGGTCTGATTTTGGCCAACACTCTACTGTGTAGCCAAGAGGGAAACCCAGCATAGCTTCCCTCTCGTAAGCATTAGCCAACCTCCAACCATGCTTGAGATGAACCAGGCCATGCTGATACTTGTACTGGTATGGGGCAAACCTAAACTTATCAGCTTCCCAATAAGCAAGATCACGTTCAGTGCAAGAATCGATCCCTGCAGGACGCAAACCCGGTTGCGCCTTCGGCTGCGCCGCCACGAAAGCTGGAACTTTTTGACCGATACCTCCCGCAAGTGACCAACCAGGCGTCAGGTAAGGGTCAGGAGGGACTGGCAGGAGAAAAGCAATTCTCCCGTAATCAGTGGGCTCAGAGGTTGAAGGCCTAATGATCTCTACCCCTGGTTCACTTGAAACCTGCCAATTGAACCAAAACAGCCGATTCCTGCGACAAGGTGTGAGGCCACATGCGTCCAACTCATAAGGCAGGATCCCTGCTGAACGCGTCACAGACGCCAGATCCCCATCTGACATAGATGACACGCTTTCCATGAGGAAGAAAACCTTTGCCCAACTGAAATGTTTCTCTGCCAGATCCCGTATTCGAGGAACCTCTTGATGAAGCCTGCAGTTTGAAGCAGACTCTGAACCTCTTTTGGATGCACCTAACCCTGAACCTCCTTGGCAAGGGGGGCCTCCCGAAATCAGGACGACACCAACCCTCGAAAACCTTCGTGCCCAGCTTAGTACTATTTCATCGGTTACCTCATCAACTGTGTTGACGAACTCAACTGAAGCGAAGGCGCTCTCCACAACCCGCTTGGCGCACGGGTCCGCCTCCACCGCAACGTAGGCACCTACCTGGGCCCCCAAGACGTCCAAAGCAACTCGGCACGCTGCAATCCCATCAAACAGAGAGATGACCAGAAGTTGCACGTCATCACACGCAAGGCCATACGAGCCCCTCACGAGCTTCCCCGCTGCTTGAACCCCCATGTCAGTGACACCTGTGGACACCGAAAGGCCTCCACCAGTTTCACTGGCATCGCTGGCGCTGACGAGTGCATCAAAAGGGAGCCTCAAGTCCATGTACGACAACGGGGCTAAAGCTGCACAACAGAACAACTCCTTCTTGACGACATCGGGAATAGCTTTCCATACACTGACATTTCCTTCGAAAGATGAAATGAACTGCCAAACCTCGTTTAGGCAACTCATTAGACAACGACGGTAACTGAACAGATAAACAAGCCCGCCGGCAACCACTTGAATTCGCTTGAGGTTGGACGTTTTGCTTTGTAGCAAATACCAACACGCCCTCAGGTACCGGGCAAATTTGTCAGGCTTAGGACAGATGGTCCCTTCACGCCCGTCAATCCAACCTCCTTGCATTTCACCCTGACGCGCGCTGCGATTGGATTTCTTCTCGTTCACTGGAACATCAAGTTTGCCATACACCTGCCTGAGTTCTGCTGCCAAAGGGCTCAAGGAGCCTTCAAGGAGACTCGCTGCCTCCCGATTGGTCCTCACCAGCGAGTCGAAATTGTCCAGATAGACACGGTACGACAGTGCTGAAATTGGGAGCGACTGATCTCGCCTGATTTCTTTGTCACGGCTGATTCCCAATTCATCCACCGCACGATTGACAATGCTACGATGGAGGCTCTGGGCTACCGACACAGAATTGATGAATCCCATCGGCAGTACTCGACTTGTCAGCACACAGGGCTCATTGACCCCTGCAGGTCGCAAATGTTTGGGGACTTCTCTCCCGAAGGCTAGGAGAGGTCTCCACTCGCTTGGAAGGCCCACAATATAAAACATCGCCTTGATGTCTTCCGAGCTAACTAAAACATCCTCGTTAGGAAAAATCTCGAGAGGAAAGAGTTGACTAAGCATTGGCAACGTGTGGAGGTCACCTGCAATGGACTCAAACAACTGGTTGATGGGCCGCAAATCCATGATTAAACGCAGCACCGGTACTCCTCCGATCTCCTCATTTTTTGGCACGCCGAAGAGGCCGCCGAGGATGGGCTTCCCCTCAACACGGATGACCTCACTCAAAGGAATGACTTCGCAAATCCTACGCTCTACCAAACCCTCAGCGACGGCCCCCCAGTCCTCGGGTCGAACCATGACCCTCGGGGGCTTCATCCAGGTTCGGGATGGAGAAGGTTTCAGGTATTTGCAAGGGTCACTTAAGAAATCTTTGATCCCAGCGGATGCAACGTCCACCCCATCAAGAGCACCAGCCTGCTCTCGTTTAGGGAGGCTGTGTTCAATGTTGCTCCAGTTGAACGGCAACGCACTATGCACCTCTTCACCATAACCGTTGACACCTTTAGACTTCCAGTAGTCTTCCATGGGAATGGAATCGAACACGTGAGAGCCCAGACGCTCGACCCTGAACGACTCACGCAGTACCGTCAGCAAAGACTCTTGAACCCTGCTAGCTGGAGCTTCACCTAAAGTCAAATCCCCGCAGGCTAGCCAGTTTAATGCTCGGATCGCAGCTTGAAGCCAAATATGCTCCTCGGGAGGCAGACCGCCCGGAAGCATAGGCAAAGGGAAGACCTCTGCCGTGGAAGGATGCTTGCTTGGAACAGATTGCTCATATCCCACTCGCAAATGTGAGTTGACATCAAGCCACTTTCCAAGCAGTACACCTAGCTGCCCGACATGACCAACCAGATCAGATGGCAGGGAAGAACACGGCTCCTCCCGCACTTCAGGAGGAGACACTGAAACAACAGACTCGGAGGTGGACCCCACACTAATCACTCCTTGACTGGAATTACTTCGCTCGCCGGGGCTGGTTGACCTTTCCAGGGGCGACCTTTGCCTCCCGGTTTGCCCTTTGGATCCTTTCCCTTGGCACTCTTGGATCCTTTCTCCCATTTGAAGGCTTGCTCCTCCAACACCTGGCGATTCCAATTGCTCTCCCACTTTCCTTTGCCCTTCCAAGAGCCTCTGATTTTCTCTTCTCGGCGGTGTTCTTGCGCAGCCCCGCGACTCTCTTCTAGGGATGCTAGAACCGAGGTTTCTGGCGGGATTAACTCGAGACGATTTGCCAATTGCGCCGCGGCTCCCAGACTCATTTGCTCGACCGCTTTCAACCTCTGAACTCCCACATCCAGGCACTTCAAGATGTTGCCCTCGATGATAGAGTCGAGACATGTGGCAAGAGTCAAATACTCTCGCTTCATAGGAGTCGACGCTCCCGAATGCGCGAAGACCTGTCGGTAATAACGGACGAAAACTGGACTTGGAGCATGGTTCCCAGCTTCCTCCCCTACCTGGGTTAGGAGTCGCTTCTTTGCCTCCTTGATCGCAAATCTTGAGAGAAGTCCTGGGCATTTTCGAGCGATGTGTTTCGTCTGAGACTCCTCTGGAAACAGATCCTCCTGCTCTGACCTCTCCCCGCTCCCACTGTGACTGACGCTGGAGGAACTGCTGCTCTGCTCTCTCTTCCTTTTCAACCCCACCTTGGGCCTCCTGAATTTGGGGTCTAGGGATGAACCGGCCCACGACCACGTGCTCTGCTGAACCATCTGGCGAACGCGTTCCTTGCCGCGTAGCTTCCTCGGCTTTTTTGCAGACTCTCCCTCTTCCCTCTGAGCAGGAGGCGGCGGCAGTAAATTCCCCACACCTCCCGTTACTCCATAGCCCAAATCTCTGGCGACAGCTTCCAACCCGGGGAGAGCTTCCAGGTCCCGCCTCAGCTCGGTCAGGTTGGACTTCCACTCTAAGAGGGGATCTACCTCTCGCACCTCGCGCGCGCAAAACAACCCGTCCACTCCCGCATCTAATGATTTCAGGAGAGGTGCCCGATTCGCATAAAACGCGTCTTGGCAGGACTTCCGCCACTCTTGCAACCCCACATGAGGAGTCCCCGTCAGATCCAACTTGATCCACTGACCCTCTTGGTCCTCGACTAAGCTCTCGACCTCCCCTACACACTCCGCTGCATCTCCCTTGTACTTCCCTTTCAAGTGTACCTGATGTCCCACCTGAAAAGCAAAATCTTGAACTAGCTTCCATGGTGTATCTTTACGTGGAGGATGATGCTCTTCCCCTTTGCGGCGATTGCTGGGTGTTGGTTTGGCCTTCGCCTTTCGTTTCGGCACAGCCTTTGGCCTGAGCCCTCTTGCTCTCCTTGGAGCAGCTTTCGCCGCTGCAGGCCGCCTCCTCGGGGCCATCCGGCTCACGTGCTTCCAGATCCCTCAGCTTCCACTGCTTTCGATAGTTGATTCCACGCTCTCGATGCTTACGCCCTTTGTTTTTGGGCTTGCGCTGCCTTTCCCAGCTGAAAGCTTCCTTTTCTGGAAAATGACCAGACGAACCTGCAGGGGAGGCGCGCTGGTCAACTGAAGCTGGCCTCCGCACAGGTCGAGGCGGGGTAGGAGGTCTTCTCTTCTCCTCTCTCCGCTGCTCTCGGCGATCACGATCACGCTCCTTCCTTTTTTCCTTGTTGGCCCCCTGGCTGGATGATCCACTGTCTAGTTGCAAAGCTCCCGAATCAGGAGTTTCGACAACCAGTTCGTGAGAATCAGGAACACCAGTCAGAGGAACCGATAACCACGAGTTCACTTCACCCAAACTTCTTTCCAAAATCGAATGTGCAAGATCGTAATTGCTCGATGTGACCCGAGAATCAAAAGGCAATAATCGAACAGCTCGGACCACCCAACAGAGACCACAGATAGGTGCTCCGGAAGTGCTTGCCCAGCGACTGCAATCAGAACAGACTGATAAGGCGCCGGCCATTCCACGAACACTAAAGTTGCAGGCTAATGAGCCGAAACATTACGAGGTGTGATTCCTAAATCACGGTACGCTTCTTCATTTCTTGCTGCCTACCTTCGTTCCTGTCTCTCCCTATGTCATTCGATATTTGGCTCTCCACTTCTAGCTTTATGTCTATCTTTCTGTCTATCTCTCTGTCTCTCCTACAAGGCAAGATATCTTTGCCTTGATTGTTTTTGATAGAAACCGTTCATCTGAATATGAAACCCCAGCCCCAAGCACTGCAGCTTTGACTCCTCTAAACCCCACTCAGGATGCTCCCTACACACCCAAAGTCCACGTAGAGCCAAACCCTCGACCACGTGTGCCTCCCGCTCCACCACACCGCGCCGCCCGTTCAGCTGTGGAGCCCTTTGCAGGCCTCAGGCGTAGGAGTCCAATGTCCAATGGGTGCGGGGACTCAAAGGGTAAAGGCGCGTTACTGGCGGCTTCACATGGGGAAGCACCCCACATCTTGGTGAGCCGACCGACGAGGAGCACCGCCTGCCCCTTCTCCAGCGGGGGCTCAGGAGCAGCCTCGGTTCTTAGAGTGACCGCCAGCGCTACGTAGGGTAGCTCCTCGACCTCCTCAGATCCCGGCCACCGGCGCAGGAAAATGCAGCTCAGGGATGATCCTGAGCGTCAGGCAAAGAGAAAGTGAGACTGCGCTGTTGTCCTGAGTTTGCGCGCACAGTACGAGGCAACTTGTGTTTCTTCATAAGCCACACAAATCGGAGCCGATATCGAACATTCGTGGTAGGCCTGCTTCTGACTGTGCCACCCCGATACCTGATTCATATCGTATGTATCGCCTAAGCACGCGGGCACACGCAGGCCTCGCATTCCCAATGCTGCCAGGTGACGGATCAGGTACAGACATCCGAGGTGGAGGAGACTGAAGCGGAGTTGCAAGCATCACAGGGAACATACCGTTTGGAGAGCGCTCCTTTGATGAGAGCTTATGTCACGCCACTACTGCATGGCGGAAGGTAGGGCTCGCAGGCTCAGTGGGTCAAGCAGTCGCAGGGGCAAGTGGCCCTCTCGAAGCAGTGCAGCACCGTTGGTATGCAAAGGGTCCAGATGTTATGTCTAAACCTCAACTCTAGAAACGGAAGCACAGGCAAGAAATCGCGACTATCATGCTGGTTCCAGGTGGGCTGGACAGGCAGTAAATCAGGTTTGGTGGCCTCATAACGTACCGGAAACCGAGCCACGACACGGCTCCCACCTCCCGCACCTTGCTTCGCTTCCTTGGAGAGGCCTTCTCACGCAGCCAACAGCACGTGAACATGTGAAGAAACCTTCCTCCGATCCTTGCGTCTCTGGCGTCACTCCGAGAACCCTCTGCCACACACACCCCTGCGATCAGATCCGAAACACCCAGCGTCTGAAGCCTTGAAACCCTGAACCCTGCCTCTCGGGTCTTGGGGCCGGTGGCGGTGACGCCCAGCTTGCCGGCCACGAGCTTGTGCCTCATTGGGGTTTAGACTTTGTTTTAAAGGAGGGCTTAGTGCGTGGTTTTCTAGGGTTTGAAGAAGGGGGAGGGGGAGATGTGGGCTGGGATTAAGGGATCATCTCCACAGAAGGTTACGGGCAAGTAGTAAGTATGGGCAAAGTATGGCAAAGCGATCATCGGAACATCCAGCTACACATAGCCGTAGCTAGACTAGCTGGAGCTCGGCGCACACCCCCCAAGGAAGCGACATGTCTGACGTGTCGGGGTCAAACTTGAGGTGCTGAGCCTGGCTCTCTCTCGCTCTCTCTCGCTCTCTCTCCTTCTCGGGCATGGCCAAAACAACATTATGACAACCGCAACGAACAGGATCAAACACTCGAAACAGCTCTGTGGTCGCGAGTGAGGCTTCAACTCCTCATGAAAGCCCAAAGAGTGATGCACACATGCAAAATTCTATTCGGTTGATCCACGCACGGCGCCATTCCTCCTCCAAAACCTCTTCTTCTTCTTCTTCTTCTTCTTCTTCTTCTTCTTCTTCTTCTTCTTCTTCTTCTTCTTCTTCTTCTTCTTCTTCTTCTTCTCTCCGTGTTAGATGGTCCTTTTGTCTCCTTCTCTCCGTGTCAGAGGGTCCTTTATTTCTTTCTTTCGCAGGACAAAGGGGCGAACCCCCGGCAGGTCTTGCCCACCACTCCATGAGGCGTCTTAGCCATTGAACTCAACGAGGCCCTGTTCAGAGCATACCACATTCTACAGGCACTTGTTTGTTTCTGAATATACAGTGTGTGCATTTTTCTTGTTTTCGTTGATGTATTCATTTCGTTTCTTGATAGCGGTGGCAATATGGTCGCAAAAAAAACGCCCCCGCGGAGCGAAATCAAGTGTCGTGGCTTGTTTTGCTCGCTCTTCTTTGCGTGTCTTCCTGCGCCCGGTTGCTAAGCCTGCGCCGGAAAAAACTATTTTTCCTCCCCATGCTCCTTCCGCGGACGACCCCCTTCACACAGCATGTCCCCCATCCACTCATTCGGAAAAACCAACCCAGCCACGGAGAAAAGCGTGAATCAGAAAAAGTTTTGTTGGGCGCCTGATTCAGGTTTGTATAGTTTATGGTTGTACCGGCCCCACCGAACAAAGGGGGTGGGCTCCGGTTCATTCGCTTCCCGGCAAGACATGACTTCCCGATGAAACCCTTTTTGCCAAATAAGTTCACCCTCACAAACCCCGGCCAGCGGTCCTGTCAAGTAGCGGACTTTCCCCGCCCATCAAATCCCCGCCCATCAAATCCCCACCAGTTCAGCTGGGAGGACAACAGGGCCCCCTTTCTGCTGGGCCTTTTGACGACCCTGCTTGCACGAGGGGCCCCCGTTGTTTCCAAAGCTGCCAAAGTGGCCCCCAGACACACTCCATGTTCTTTTTCTCCTTGTTCTTCAGGGCATGGGCCCGGACTCTCACTCCAGCTCACACATGTGAAAGATGAAAAGGTTTCTCGTGTGCTCGTAAACACTTTTCCGTTCGCAGAACAGCACGGTGGCAGAGCGAACGATCAACAATCGCCTGCCTCCGTCAAGTCCCGGTACGCCTTCTTCCAGTGACCGAGCCGACCTCAAGCCAACTCAGCCAACACGAACGACGAGTCAATCTTTCCACGGCCTTTTGTGCCCCAGAGAAACCTATACAGATTTGCAGCCAGCGCTCTAATTACTTTGGGACCCGCAGTCCGAGAGTCGCACGATGCGCCATGCCGCGAAGGCGGTAAGCCTCAAAAGTGGACGCTCGAGGATTCCCTACGCCACTACACCTTTCCGTGAGATGCCAAGCCCCCGCCTTCACCATGTGATTGTTAATCTTCAGCGCTGCTGTGCCTCAAGGGAGATCAGGCGGGTTCTGCGAAGAACTATAACTCCACGGAGCCACGAGACCCGAAAGCTCCCGCCCGCAAAGCAACCTGAGGCCTCGATTCACCCTCACAGAAGTCCCGATAAGGATCTTTGAGGAGAGGGCGCGCGGAAGCGCCTGGGCCCGGCACAGTCCCGGATCGCTGCACAGGGCCGCTTCATCTTCAGCAGCAGCGCCGAGCCTGAAGAGCCGACTCCCGCGGCCCAAGAAGGGTTTTGACACTCAGAGTTTTGAAGAAACAAAAAGCCACAGAACCTCTGGAATGAAAAGAAAGTCACCGGGGCACTTGCGGGTGCAGAGCATCTGCGGATTGGAGCCGCCACTTCTCATGGCCTCCAGAAGAAACATTCTGCAGATCAGCATGGGCACGGCTCCACGAACCTCACCTTGACATACCAGCGCACGTGCACACTTTCACAAACGCGCACCTCCGTGTACACATTGATGGCGCCGGTGAAGTCCCCAGCTTGCATGGCCACAGCCTGGGCCGGGGTCCCCCCGTCGAAAGAGCTCACGAGGGGGGGGCTTGCTCAGCGTAGCTGCACGCCTAAGCACTTGCTCCATTACTGCATTGCCATTCCAAGTCTGCAACGGCAGCTTTCTCCGCGTCGTGGCGCAACTGCGCGCTGGTGTTGGCCTGAGATTACATGAATAATTGGAAAGGACGGGCCCTCAGGCTCGTCACAAGAGGAAACTGCAGGTCTGCAACTGAGAGAAAACAAACCGTGCCTTGTAAAGGCACCTGCTACGAGCCCGGCCCGAAACCCTGACGCCTCGACCCAGAGCTGAATCCCAAAGCTCAAACATTGGCTCCTTCGTCCCGACCTGAGCACTAAAGCAGGCCCCCCCCACCCACCCCGATCCCAACCCCCCGGGACCCCGCGCCGGCGGGAAAAGCTGAGGCCAAGCCTCAGACTCCTGGGGCTTTCTCTGGGCTTTCTTGAGGGGCTTTCGAGGCTTCAGGGCCTTTTCTCATCCCTTCTTTCTCTTGAGGATTCTTGGGGATTTTAGCCGCAAAACCTTGAAGGGGAGGAGAGAGGGGGAGGGAGAGCGATTGCTCCTTCGGCAGGCGTTCAGTATCGTCGAGATCATCTGGCCGCACTTCCTTCGGAGTGGAAGCATCGGGGCGTTAGAGATGTTACAGTTTTTTCTCACATGTAAGGTTCAGGTATCTGAGGAGTCGAAGGAGCCACTGATGCCCCCACGTGCGCTGCTGAGCATGCTGAAGCGTGGCGAAGACATGCAACACAAGAAGCCCAAGCTGCGACCCACGGCCAAGCCGAGTTTTGACCTCATGGCGCACCATGAAACGTCCATGCAGACGGCTCCGGTATGTTCACTTCTCGGGAAGCGGTGCCTTACGGCAGACCTCCCTTTAAAAAGAGTCCACAGCAATGGAGCTACGTCCTGGAAAAGCTACCTTCAAGCACCCTCGTGCATCCACCTCACTTGCCTGCGCTCCGCCAGAGTAACAACTTTAAGGGCATTTCATGACAATCTCCATGATGACTTGCGTAAGCCTTTGCCAAAAACCCCGACAACACTAAACTTGCCCGTCGGAGAAGCCCGCGAGGTGGGAGGTCAGCCACTTGAATGCATTCTCTGTGATGGCAAGCCTTCTTCTGTATTCAGGTTGTCAGGCTGGGGGTGCACGGTTGAGTACAACAGCTTACAAGACGAGCCTGAGCCAGCAGGCAAGATTTCCAGCTGCTGCGAAAAGCTCAGGCTCGACAGGATGGCTTATCCTGAAGCATTCCTTCCGTGGCTTTTGGCTGCCACGCACTAGCGGCGTGGCACTGCACTTCAAGAGTGGCCGCAGCAGTGCCCGGGATCTTTCAGAGAAACACATCCAGACCTCTGGAAGAAACAGCCAAAAACAACATCGTCGGCACTCTCCCAACTACTGCTGCGCGGCTGTGTGTTGATTTGAAAGAATTTTAAATATAATTTTAGTGTCATGCGAGTCAGGCAGTCAAGAGAGTCGGTCTGCGGATGACGAGACGATGGTCACCAGAACTCCGACCAGGACATAGCTGCTTTTCATGACCTTTACACGTCGAAAGCACTCTTGAAGACTCAGGAACTGGCACGCCGGCACGGCCCATAGGGAGCTTACTTCTTTCCTTCCCTTGTTGCGCCGGAAATAATCAGAACAGCACATGGTACAGGAAAGATAGCAAAGGCCTCTAGGACGTTGGTGCAACCGCGCATGTCAACAGGGCACTTGAGCGCAAGCCTAGGGGCTGCTGCAGGTGTCACGCGCATATCGTTGATGAAAAAGGCGACATCGCAGCGCGACATGAAGTCCAAAAGGTCCTCGATGAAACTTCATCCAAAAGCTGCTACCACATCTTTTTTGTTCAGCAACTTAACGGATGAGAGAATGAAAAGCCGCATAACATTGAGTTGGGGCCTGCCACTAGCTTACAGGAAACGCACAAGAACATTGACATACATCCTGGCCTTCACTCCCCAAGCCGTCCCAAGGTCCCAGCCCCATTTGGCTGGACAATCTGTGAAGCAGGGTAAGCACGAGAAATTTCTGAACAAGCAGGCCTGTGCCATTGAGTTGTTCCATTCGCTCACAAGCATGGAGTTTGCCACCTGTGGCGACTGTTCGCACTGCCTCAGTTGGCATACATCAGCAAGTTCCATATCGTTGCCTTTTGCTGCTCGAAGATGTTGCCACTAGTGCACTGACAGCATTCCTTCGTAGCTGAACGACATGAATCTTGCTCCAAAACAGGACACCCGAATCCTTGCACGCCCAAAAGCATGCCAACCAAGAGTCTGCGTCGTGCTGGCCGCAGTAACCAGGGCATGAAGCGGCATCAACGCCCTCAGGCAAGTGTCTGCGTACGTCTGCGCTTGCATCTGCGTCTGCAGCAGACGCAGCATCTGCGTCTGCGCGTTTCTGTGTGTGTGTGTGTGCGCGCGCGTGTGGGTGCGTCTCTGTGTGTGTGTGTGTGTGTGTGTGTGTGTGTGTGTGTGTGTGTGTGTGTGTGTGTGTGTGTGTGTGTGTGTGTGTGTGTGTGTGTGTGTGTGTGTGTGTGTGTGTGTGTGTGTGTGTGTGTGTGTGTGTGTGTGTGTGTGTGTGTGTGTGTGTGTGGTGGTGTGTGGGTGTGTGGGTGTGTGGGTGTGTGGGTGCGTGGGTGCGTGGGTGCGTGGGTGTGTGGGTGTGTGGGTGTGTGGTTGTGGGTGTGGGTGTGTGGGTGTGGGTGTGGGTGTGGGTGTGGGTGTCGGTGCGGGGGTGTGCGTCAGTGTGCGTCAGTGTGCGTCAGTGTGCGTCAGTGTGCGTCAGTGTGCGTCAGTGTGCGTCAGTGTGCGTCAGTGTGCGTCAGTGTGCGTCAGTGTGCGTCAGTGTGCGTCTGTGTGCGTCAGTGTGCGTCTGTGTGTGTGTCTGTGTGTGTGTGTGTGTGTGTGTGTGTGTGTGTGTGTGTGTCGTGTGTGTCGTCGTGTGTGCGTCTGTGTGCGTCTGTGTGCGTCTGTGTGCGTCTGTGTGCGTCTGTGTGCGTCTGTGTGCGTCTGTGTGCGTCTGTGTGCGTCTGTGTGCGTCTGTGTGCTGTCTGTGTGCGTCTGTGTGCGTCTCTGTGTGCGTCTGTGTG